CTGTAAGGCCAGACTGTGATATTTAGCTCAAAATTTAAAACTTTTTCAAATTCCAGAGGCTCAAGCCTCTTGGCTAAAGCTGGAGCTGAGCAGTGAGTGGGGAAACATATATTTGGTTGTTCACAAACATGAGTCAGTACTGAAGTCTTTTAAATCTGTGCTCTGATTACCATCTCTAGGGGCAGCTGATTAATATTGGAATTACTTGGCATAATATTTCTCAATGATATCCAATTTTATACATTACATTTTGTGCTGTGCAATATTGAGGTGCAGAAGACAGTAGATTTACAGTATTGGGAAAGGACCTTTGGTGAAGCTGAGCAGAGCACTACCTTAAATTTCCTTTTGGAAATTCCTATTGCTTTTTTTTTTTTCTTTTTTTATATTAAATTATTTAAAAGGCAAATAAGATTAATTGTTTCTTGGGGAATTGTCCTGTTTGAAACAACACTACCAAAGTTAGTGCATACAACAGGGAAATAATTTTTCATGTGCATTATTATTGTAAATGTAAACCTATATAAAATAATAAAAAAAATTAATACTCTGATGTCCAAATGATGGCCTTTTAAAGTCTCTTTAACAGAAGGTATGAGATATTGGGTTAATTTGTCATGATTGTTACTGTCATAGCCCATTTTTCCCCCAAAGTGATTATTTGACTCAGCCAAGGATACAGCTTGACTGTACATTACATGTACATTATATGTACATTATATGTATCATTACACATGTATAATTATACCTGTTAGTAATAGAAGGGGCTTCAGCAGAATACATTCAGTTTTAAATAGAATCTGTCAGACTTCAATTTCCAGGATTTTCAAAAGAGGAAAAGGTAAACTGAGCCTTGGAAGGAAGGCCAAGGAATCACAACTGTTCTACCTGTAATTACTGCAAAGAAGGCACACTCTGTTAAGCTATATGATTAAGATCTGGGCTTTTTAAAAGTTCTGAAATCTTCTCTTTTTTCATTATGAGTTAGCTATTGTATATAAAGATAGCGATGACGGAAAGCATGATTTCATTTCCCCAGCTTCTTTTTTTTTTGATATTTAATCAGTCAACAAGACTCCATGTTTTTCTCTTCTTTTTGTTTTTTATTGAACAGGATGTGAGTGTAAGAGCTAAGAGCTCTTAAAGGTATTTAATCAGTCAACAAGATTCCATGTTTTTCTCTTTTTGTTTTTTATTGAACAGGACGTGAGTGTAAGAGCTAAGAGCTCTTAAATACACAGCTTTTCTTCGAGCAAGGGAAAATTTTTGGAAACCTGGATAAATGGCAAATAGAAGTAACTGTTCATTCGCTGGCAAAAGTCCCAGGCAGCAAACAAAAACTTACGGATTATTTTATCAAATCATTTCATCACTATACAAAAAAATCTGTGTCCTGCTAAAATCAGTGGCAACTTTGCCACTAACTTCATGCAACCTTGATTTCACTACTTGTTCTCAAGTATCGTGAACATGTGTGATATTCCGTTGTGCAAATTATTGTGGCTATATAGCGTCGATTAAGGATTATCTGTCGCCAAATGATCTCAGCAGTGGACTAGCCACTTAACTCAAACTATTTTCAGGGACATTAAAGTGCACCGCATAATGCACTTCTGTGATATAGGTGTGATACAGAAACATTTTGGAACTGTATGCAAAAGATAAATGCTCCAAAGACAGCATATTCTGAAGTTTAATCAATATAATTTGTTTTATTTGTGTTTTACTTTATCCAAATGGTCTGACTCATACTTTCAAAGGTGGCTGTGAGTAGAATATCGTATGTGCATGACCTCATGTGAGCATACCCAAAGCACAGTCATGAGTTACTTCTTATGTCCGTCACCTTGGATCCAACCCCTCCACATTTTTGACACTAATTCTCTCTAGAATGCAAAGTTATGCTCTCACACCTGCTGGAAGGATGAGTAAGAAAACATAACAAATCAGATATGATACATAGCCAACTTAAGCCTCATCAGCTGAGGGATTTCTCAGAGCTTAAGTGCACATCTCTTTTCTGGCTGGTGGTACTGCAGGCAGCAGTACAGACATTTGGGTGTTCGCAAGAAATAAAGTTCGAGTAGTTTAGTATTGGTTTTGCAGTTTTTATTGATACTTCTTTTACAAATTACAGTTTCTTGGGACCTAAAATAATGTCTCGGGCTTATTTTGTGCTATATTAGCAGAATATTTGAGGCATATATCCTTAACCATAGTATGCAAAGTCTATTTGTTCAGAAAGTACACTAAAGGAAGCCACGATATTCAGCTGTTGTGACACTGCTGCATGGATGTACAACTGTGAGACCAACCCACCCAATATCATTTTGACTTTTTATCTGCTGTAAGCCACCTTGTCTCCCAAAGGCTGGCTGGGTGTCTCCTGAGAGTTAAGCCTTGCAGTGGGGGCTTCACTGGTGCTGATTTCTCCAGATTTCTCTTCATTATTTGCACTTCCTGAAAAGAAAACAAAACCCAGTTCTATTAGGATTAAAGTAAATACAGTATCTTTGATGCAACAAGCTAGAAGGTGTACATTTTGTCAATGACACTTTAATAAGGAAATCTCTTATGCAGCATTCAGTGTTCAGGAAGCTATTTTCCTCAGCGTGTAGTCCACTTGCAAACTGCTTTAGGGCAATAACAGATCATCTAATACTAATTAATAATCATACTTCCAGCAGGCTTCAAATAATTGTCACTGGAATGCATAACAGTTGGCACAACACCTGTACAAGACTATTTTCCTTTTGGTGTGGGCTGTACTTAAGAGGCAGGAAACTTGGGGAGCATTAATTTTTATCTGTGTCTATCTGCTTCATGTACCCACCTCTTCCATATATTTTATCTTTTGTTCTTTTAGTCTTCCACCTATTTTAGATGTGCAGTTGCCTCAGCAAGACATTACTGTGCCAAGAAGTTTTACCAATGGTGTTTATTTAATGGATCCTAGCCAGAGCACTCTAAGGGCTGCACACATGTCCCTCATCCTAAAGGAATCTGTTTTCTAGAGAAGAGTTCCAAAAAGAAGGTGTGAATAAAATGAGTAAAAGATGAATCCTAACCACAACATTCCTGATTCAATCTTGACTCAGATCTGAATTATGAATGCTGTTGCTTTGCTTGGACTCTTGTGGGGTTACACACAGTGTCTTAAAGCTAATGAAGAACATTTTAGCTTTGCTAGCCTTGGAATTTTCTAAGCCTACAGGTGAGGTCCATTCTGGCTTAGACACACAAAATATGTTTAAATGTCTGAATTTAGACACATGATTTGGGATGGCAAGATTTCACTTTGGAGGAATTAAAGCTATCTCCTTCTTCCCAATGACAAGACTGGTTTCATAAGCACTTATTTTAGGAGGGTTGGTTTAGCCTAGATACGAATTAGATGACTAAAAGTGATGTGTATTGGACTCCACCTGTTCAAGGCGCAGTGTCCTTATACAGGGATTCACTGTTACAGAATGAATACAGCTATGTTATGAAATGGGAATTTTGGCATTCAGACACTATGCTATAAAATGGGAATTTTGCTATTCTGTTACGAGTGAATACAACTATGCTATGAAATGGGAATTTTGGCATTCAGACATGCTGTCTGAATGTCCATAAACACTCTGGAGCTTTTGTTTTTAACTGAATTTCATGTTGTTAACAGATTCCCTGGAAAAAGCCATCCACAACTTTTTCCATAATGGCCACTCTTCTTGCTTCTGGTTTTGATGATCCCCATGGAAACCAGAATATAAAGCATGTTTTTGAATTAATACTGAAAAAGACCAGACAAACATTACTTCCTAAATCCAAGCCTTCTCAAGCACTATCACTTCCTTAATTCCCACTGCTTCCCCCAGGAACTGCCTCCCAAAATATCTAATTTACTCTAATTTACAAAATACTCCCAACCAAAACTGCAACAAGTTTATAAATCAGTGCAGAAAAACAGCTTCAAATTTCTCCTCATACTTTGTAAAGGCACTGCCAGTAAATGCCACGAAGAATCAGTGCATTTATTAAATTACATTTAATAAATTGTCAACTATGAAAATATACATTTCAATTATATGCCTGTAGGAATGCTATATTCCATCATTAAATGTTATAGTTTGTATGTTATATAATGAAACATGTACTTCACCTTGGACTATGTTTTTATTTCTTGGAAAAAAAATCACAGATAACAGCTGGATATATACACACAGCCCCTAGATCCTGCAGTGAATAATCTAAAAGATATGCAACTTCATCTGTCCAAGTGTTTCTAAGTATTAGAGGCTTTATTTCAGAAACTGAAATTTAAGAGTTTAGGAATAACAGTTTCCTATTGGGCTGAAACCTAGGGACTGCTATGGACCTAGGGACTGAGACCTAGGGACTGCTACTCCACATGGCTATATGGAGACTTCTGTGAGCCTTTATTTGCCTGACATTTGACATTCCTAAGTCAAGGAATTTCTTATTTCAGTAAATAAGGGAGCAAGAAAACTTTCTGCAAAGTCATTTAGATTTTATGGTCTCAGTTGTCCCTTGTCCAGTTCATCTCCATTTTACTGAAATATATTCATTTTGCTATTTATAAATCACAGATGGTATGTGCAACTGAGAGGATAGTGTTTTGAAGGAAGAGGTAAGATGGACAAAACAGAGTTCATCACAACTGTTTGGAATGTCTTCAAAATAACGTCACTACAGCTATGCACAAGGACACAAAAGTGGATTGTTTCATTAGAAGCGTGTCTCTTGCAGCCAATCTTATGACTGCTGTCATCTTTGCATGTAAAGTGTTTAGCATCCACAATTCTCCCTTCTTTTCTTACAACCACAATAACTGAAACTCAGCAGGCACACAAGACAGGGTATTATGCAGTTCAAAAAAAAAACTGTCACAAGAATTCACAATCATTCAAAGACTATCAAATTTTCTTTTTTTTTTCTTTTTTCTTTTTTACTAATTATGTGTTAGATTGGATCTCAGAATAGCTGAGTGATAAATAGTTCTCCCTCGGGATGGCGAGCCAGATGCATCATCCAGAAAGGCTCTGCAGCATTGTTCTCTCAAATCTATCATCCAGCATCAGGCAAGAATCACAGAATCACAGAATGGTTGCGGTTGGAAGGGACCTCTAAACATCATCTACTCCAAATGCCCCTGCTCAAGCAGGGACACCCAGAACACGTGGCACAGGATTACATCCAGATGGCTTTTCAAGATCTCCAGAGGAGACTCCACAACCTCTCTGGGCAGCCTGTTCCAGGGCTCTGTCACCCTCACAGGAACCAAGTTCTTCCTCCCCATATGGAGATGGAACTTCCTGTGTTTTAGTTTGTACCCATCCTTTGTTCTGTCACTGGCTACCACTGAGAAGACATCTTCTTTACATCCTCCCCTGAAGTATTTGTACATGTTGATACGATTTCCTCTCAATCTCCTCTTCTTCAGGCTTTGACTACCTGGCACCACTCCATACAGACCAAGTGTGAAACAGTTAGATCCACAGTGCTTGAGCTCAGAAGTGGGGGTAAAGGAAGCTACCCCAAGTGCAGGAAGGGACATCAGCCAAACAGTAAAATGAGGCACAGTAACTTAAAAAGAGTAAAAATACAACAATCTGAATATTATAATCTTCTTGACTGAACATTCCCTTGGACACATCCAAAATATCTACTTGTCTATTGCTGAATGTGATTTCGCAGAAAAATATAAGTGATGAACTTACACTGTTGGACTGAAACTGCTTTGGCGTGAACTTCAGCACCACCTTTTCCCAAAAGGATATTAAGGGTGTTCACCAATCAGAACCTGGAGTTCATATAATTTTTCTAGATGAACTGATGGACATTAGGAATCACTTTCAGAGTGCACTAGAAATCCTATCAAGAGACTCACAGAAGGAGTTTCTGTAAGTCCTAAGTCTGGAGCGGAAATGTGTTCTATGCGATATCTATTTAAGCAGAAGTCATATGAGAAGTTTCAGTATTCCAGGCGAAGATTGAAGACAACTGTAGAGGCAAGGTGACAAGCCAATGTTGCTATGAGATGGAATTTAACAGAATTGAACTGTGTAGCTGCATTACCATGGTGCTGAGCCCAAGCAAATACTGGCTTGGAAAGCAGGCAGGGTGAACTCACTTTTGCTTGAAGAATAACATGTTGACATATCCCTTCTAAAACCTCTCCTTATTAATCTATAAATCTCATACTGTACGGTTTGTTTTCCAACATTTGACTCATTTTTTTTTTTCATCTCTTTCAATAGCTTTTTCTCTCTCTCTCAGTTTTTATAGTTAGTCTTAAGTTTTTGGTTTTGGACACTGTTGAGGACAGGATCTTGAGCTAGACAGAACTTTGGACTGGTCCATACATGAACGTTGTGCTTTTACGCCTATGTGGACAGTTTTAAAATTTCACCATCTCAAAAATGGTCTCCTTATGGTTGACATTTTCCCACCTTTATCCAGGATTTCCTATACATGCTGGGTGTAGTCTCTGTCCGTGGTGCTCAGTCAAGAGCCATTCTGCCAGTGCTGTGTTTTCAAGTCAGGATAGAATTATACAGACATAATTCTGTGAGATTAGGTCCTGAAAGACCTAGAAGTTATATCCACTGTATAAATATAAGAACAAATGTCTGCAAACTAAAGATTTCTTAGTCATCAGAAGGAACAGAATATCTGCTTAGAATTTAAAAGACACTGAAGGGTACCGAGGAACTGATGAAAAGACCTACAGTAAAATCTTTAGTCCATTTTTGGAGAAAGACCCTAAATACTTATTCAAACAGTCTCTTGAACAAAAGCATTGATGCTTATGTTTGTGTCAGTACAACCAACTTGATGATTCTGAGCTGTAACTTCATGTCACTAAGAGATCAGGTTCAATGCATTTCAGGTTGTCTGTTAGGCCTCAGAGATAGTTTGTGTACTTTGGCATCTTAGAAAGTAAACTTGATTTCCAGATATGCAACTCCATTCAGAGCAGAAAAGGCCTGGCCTATGTCCAGTGTTAAAAAGAGTCCTTATGCATTTTGCACAACATAAAAAACACTTGTAAGCTTACAGATCTGCAAGGACACACCAAAGTATTTCAGCTTGCTGAAAAGGGGTGGTTTTGTTTGCTTATCTTGAGGCTGTCAAAGTTTATTAACAAAATACACAGATATAAAGGACAGTTTCTTTGTGTTCAAGATGAGTGTTCATTATAGAGCAGCAGATAGATAGAAATCTCAATAGTGTCGATCTTACTGTCCTGAGCAGAAAGAAAAAGAAATCAAAGGAGTTTCACAACTTCAGGAAAAACACAACAGGCATAACAAGCACAGCTATTTAAAAAGCCAAAGAAAGTTATCTAGTGTGAAGCAGATGCATACGGGATCCATACTGAAATCTACCTAAAGGAAGAGCTTCAGTTACAACCTTACAGTGAATAGAAGCCTTTGTGCTCCACCTCAGTCATATGAACCTCAATACTATCATTTTACATGCCTGCATTTGGCCAGCGAGGCCTGTACAGCTAATCATTCGGTTCAGTCAGTACATGTGATGCGAATAGTAAGCAAACTATTAGAAGATGCAGCTTCATAACATTTTTTAAAATCACTGTGGGAGGACAACAAACATTTATAACAGATATCTGCTGTAAAAGAATGTTTAATGCAACATTGCATCCTTTCAGTCTAAGGGTGCTTTTTTCCACACTAGTATGACTGTAATGTTGACAAGACCTAGGGAAATGTCAAACAGAGAAATTAGGTCTTATGTTAACAAAAGGTCCAGCGCAGGGCCACAAGGATGATCAGGGGCCTGGAACATCTGCCCTATGAGGAGAGGCTGAGGGAGCTGGGCCTGTTCAGCCTGGAGAAGAGAAGGCTGAGAGGGGATCTAATCAGTGTCTATAAGTACCTCAAGGGAGGGAGTGCAGAGGACGGTGATGGTCTCTTTTCACTGGTGGCAGTGGTTTCTTAACAGTGAGGGTGACAGAGCCCTGGAACAGGCTGCCCAGAGAGGTTGTGGAGTCTCCTTCTCTGGAGATCTTCAAAACCCGCTTGGATGCAGTCCTGTGCCACGTGCTCTAGGTGTCCCTGCGTATGCAGGGGGGTTGGACTAGATGATCTCTAGAGGTCCCTTCCAACCCTAAGCATTCTATGATTCTATGATTCTATGTAATGCCAGAAGAGGCTCTGCTTACCTGTGGATGCTTTCAGTCTTCTGATATAATCAGACCAAAAGGAACAGTCTGCTTTTTTCAGTCCTTTAAGAGTTGGCAAGGAAACTGTGAACTCCTTGTAGTTATCACCATCATCATTTGGCAGGAACTTAGGCCAGAGGGGCATCACCCCAGACATTCTTCTTGAGAAACTATGAGGGTAATTTGGATTTCTAAGGCAAAGAGCAGAAACAATTATTAGAAAACAATTACATGAACAATAAAATGCAGAAAAAGACTGAATGGGTCAAGATAATGCATATTCAGTCTCTCTAACCATGAGGGTTCAAATACAGCCCAGACTGATAAATTCTTCAGTATGTCTCACCTGACATCTACTTAATAGCCTGGTTAGCTTCCTGACTGCTCAGACCAAGTCTGTGTTCGTACATGCTCATCAACCACTTTAGCACCCTCAGTAAACAACCAATGAACAACCCAAGGTTCTCCAAAGAGCACAGTCAGTCACAGGACCTGCACTAGCTTCCTACAGATACTCTTGATCTTCCTACAGATCTGCTGAAAACTTGACCATGCCTTTGCAACATTGTTGACAAAAAGTCCTCTCTGTAGGAGTATAACTTGCTGGAGCAAATGGAAATTATCAACTGCACACTAGATCTAGCCTACATTCACTCTAGTCCTCCAACTCTGCCCCAAACATAGTAATTCTTAAATGTCACATATTTACCCAGATTTTACAAAATTGGAGATATACTGCATAATTTGCAAGGAAAGGCTCTTTTCTTCCAGAGTAAATTGTTCTTCATACTTCTGGTAGAAGGGCAGTCCAAATGCATACTGAACATCTGGCAAGAGCTCCATAGCTGAACTAAAAAATATTTACATAAACATAATTCAAATCTTCATCATTTGTTTAGGGGAAAAGAGGAACTAATTCAATTAAAATAATAAAGCAGAGTTTTAAATAATTAATGACCATTAATTAGATGGTTGCAAGCTCTGGGGCTTCCTTAAGTCAGAACATCAAAGGAGAACAATTAAAAACAAAGAGAATTTGCCATTAAGTCAGTGAAGCTTCTTTAGCAATTTTTACAAGGCAGAATTGTGGAGGGCAACAGGGCAGATTTGCTGAATTAAGTGTGCGGAAAAGAAAGTGATAGAGGAAAAAAATCACTGGTTATTGCTTAAATTACTATTGAGCTTTGCATAGATTGTCACTAAGATCAAATTCAGAAAGGATAAACGGAAGCAAATGGTGACAGGGAATTTGGCAGCCATACTGGAAGGCTAATTAAGGTTTATTTCACAGACTTGGAATAAAATCTTGGCCCTCCTTGAAGGCAACTGGAGTTTTTCCATTAACTTCAGTGGGGCCAGGATTCTACCCCAAGTCTTTGGATAAGGAGAGATGTAACAGGAGATGTTTATGAAGATTTCTTTTAGACGTAGTTCTAATCTAATTTCTCTGTTGGCTGAGTGATTTTGGTTCCTGCAATGTGTTCTCCCCAAGTTGTGCATGGCAGTCAAATCAAAGCAGGCTTGAAAAAATTGCTTAGATCAGATCTAAGAAAGAAGAATCACTCTTTATGTCTATGTAACATTTAACACATATCATATTATATATTTCAACAATTCAGGAAGAAGACCGGGGAACAAGAAAACAAACCTTGTGGGAGACAGAAGTGAAGGGTACTCATATTAATATAGTGAAGTTCTTAACACAGCAAAGTCATACTAAAAACCAGGTTAAATAGCAGGCATCATTGACTAAAATGATATAATTATGAATATATATATTTGTATTTGTTGTAAAAATACAACAAAACTGCAATCACAACTTTGAACAAGACATTTCTGGTCTGGAGTCCAATCGTGTTTTATTTATTCTTTATTTGGAAAAAGGTCCGAGTGACTTGATTTAATGCTGGTAACATCAAGGCAGACAACAAGAGGGACCTGAGAGAAGGAGCAGATGCCTGTGAATGAGGGACAAACAAATCCCAGGTCCACTCAGCAAGGTTTCATCTTCAGGGGTTGCAAAAGGTTGCTATTGAAAGGTGGCACAACTGAAACTATTTTATCTTTGGACATGAAATGCAGCAGCACTGATATGACCCAGATGTTGCCTATAATTGAACAAGGCTCATATTTCAAATCATCCTGGGCAGGTGGAATGAAAGCAAGATGACTTCTTTACTTTTTAGGAGTGGTGGCACTACCCTCTCTCCAAAGCCTCTATTTTGAAAAACAAACACAGAGCCTCCTAAATGAAATACATCTTTGGTTGTATTTTCCTTAGTCTTAGCATAATACCTTGTAATACTTTGCATCTGGAAAGTGAATTATTCACAGATTATTCACCATAAAAATGTAGAACTGAAACAAGATTAAAGCATATTTTTCTTCCCCAAATGTTTACACAAGGATTAAGCAAGATCATAGTTTAATAATTTTGTTTTAAAAATAATTTGCTTGGCCCAGTATATTACAGCAATGTTTGGTGTAAGTATTGCAGCAAAAGTAGTATATACTTAAAGGAGCTATTATCTTTTTAATGTATAGTCACTTTGGAGCAGAATAGATGATACAAAGTTTGTTAATATGCAGTGAAAGGATAAATGTACTCCTTTAAAGAAGTCATAGGAGGGGTGAGTTTGGCTCTATATCACAAGTGAGATGGGAATGAGGCTTGTCCCAAGATGAGACTGTGATTTCAGCCCTTCTATTTCTAGAGGTGAAATCTGTTATGTTCATACTAAAATTCAGCAAACTCCTAAACTGAGATCTCACTGGGATTGAAAATTATCCATACAAATGTAACAGATCTTGAAAGAAGAACAAAGTGGTACAAAATTCTATAATGTCATAGTCTACTTTCAATACCATACTCTGGCCAATGAGTATCAGGATGGGGAAGAAAATGGAAAGCAAAGAAGTACACATGTGTGCGCAGATCAGCAGCATACATCAATGAAAGATCTATATGGCAACATACAGAGAGAAAACATCAGGAGAACGTTTCCTTCTTTTCCTTTAGACTCTGACCAGAGCACAGTCGGACTCAATAATCTCGAAGGTCTTTTTCAACCATAATGATTCTATCATTCTATGATCCACTACTGCCAGAGAAGACTGCAAAGTGCCTAGAAACACCCAGACCAAGATTTTGGAGTCTTGTGGGAGCTCTGAAGAGACCTGACAGAGCCCTGTCCACACAGACCAGTTACATTAATAATAAATAATACTACTGGTGAATGTAAGATGCAAAGATGAAAATGGCTCCATTGACTTCATGGGGCTATTATTTTTAAATTGGGATGTGAACATTTTTAGAAACAGATGCACAGGTCTTCTTATGTATGTGACTGGTTGTCAGACTGGTGAACTAAGCTATGGAAAAGCTAAGGGATAGATCCTCCCATTTTGGTAACACTAGATGAGCTCACCTTAAGGACGACTAGGTCTTGACTTCAGAGGGAGTAGTTACTGACAGTCAGCTCTCCAATGTATAGAAAAACAGGTGCTAAAATCAGAAGGTTACTGGAATTCATAGAAGAATTTAACTGCAGACCTTGAACTGTTAATAATTGGGAATTTTCAGTATATAGTGCCAATACATATTATTTGAAAGGTAGTGGTTCTACGGAAATTTTCCTTATGCCTAAATGGAATTATCATTTAAAATGGTTCCAAGAAAAAAAGAGATTTCTTAGCTATTAGATAACCCACTTCTCTCTCTAGAACTATGGATACTTTTCGCATACAAAAAAGAACAGCTTCAACAAGACTAAAAGGTGAGAAGCTCAGCATTAAGAGCAAACACCCTGGCTATGGTTGATTTGGTTCAAATTCTTGTTCCAAATTAAACAAAGCATAGATATAAACCTAGATTTCCCACAGTCAGGATGAATTTCTGAACCGCAAACTTATGGAACTGTAAAAAAAAATCCTTATAATTTTTGTTTGCAAAATGGAATTGTCATTACTGAAAATGCTCTCACAGACCACCACGCTATGCTACATTAGAACTAAATACATAATTTACAGTGGCTGCAGAGACCTCACATTGTGATTCATTGTATATTAGCCTAGTGATCTCATTCTGAACTTTGCCTTTTTCCAGATATAGCTAATTATTTCATACTGGAAATTCACTGTGGATGATTAATGACAGACTATGGCCTACACGTCTTTTTTTTTTTTTTTTTTTTTTTACTGTCCTTATTCTCATGATCAAACAGTTTCAACTAATCTCAAAGCCCTTGAGTCACAGTTTCTTCTATTTTTAGTTTGTCTAATGCAGTTTTGGGATTTTCTTTTCCACATAATCCATCACACAGAGGGATACAAGTCAATGTAAATTAGCATAAGTCAAAGGCCATCCTAAACTAAATGAAAATACCTAACTACCCACTACTACTCAATCATTTATTTTTTAAAATAAATATAACTCTAACAGCAGCATCAGTGTAAGTCATAAGCAAATGTACCAAATGGATGTTTACTTACCACTGTCTTTTTAGCTATATTGACCAATGATCACAACTATTAATAGAATAGTTTTCTAGTAAATAAGATCGAGAACAGGAAACACATGTATAGCCACACAATTCCATATTTTTGTGCTTTTAAATTTGTTACTGATAACTAGAACCACAAAACAGGAAATTTAAACCTAGTAAAGATCTGACACCACAACTTAAATTATATATGGGAGGAACTTAATTGATATTTTCATTCCATTTTCATCTGTACAAATAATTTTGGCCATTTTTTCATATTCCTTTATATATTATTATATATGCTCATTATATTGCCCATTTCATGACATACGCATCCTCCTTTTTTTCCCAAGTTGCACTGCTTTGGGCTGATGTCAGTAAAGCAAATATGGACTAGCAGCCATGTTTTTTAAAAAAAAATCATATGATGTTTGGTTTACCGCTGCTTTGATTAGAGTTGTTGGCCTTAAAAACTACTGTAATAATTACTACTGTAATATCAAGTCAGGGCTCTACCTAGAGCTAGGCATAGCAAAAAAAACAAACCAAATCAAAACAAACAAAAAAACAAACAAAAAAGCAAAGAAAGCAAAAACAAAACAAAGCAAAGAATCCCTAAGCATAAAATTTTAAAGGTCCAAGTTACCAGTCCCACAATGCTGAGGACACTAGAGTTGTTAGTTAAAAGTGCTCTCTACAGAACGACTCCTTCCTTCTGTGATGCCTACACAAACTGTTCACTTCCGTTAAAATGCTGCAACTCACACTTGACACGATTATTCAAATATTTTCAGCTGCACTGCCTGAGAAGTGTAGAAGAAACTGTGCTTAAGCTCACACTACTCACTGAACTCAGCAGATGTTAGTGACCGGCAACATCTCTGAGATAAATGAATCATTAATCCTTTAAATTTAAACATTTATGAGCATTTCTGTGCTCATTCTGAGTAACTTTGTGAATGGGTTGGTGATAAAAGATGGGATCATGATTTAGTTTTGGGTTCTCCACCTCATATTCAAAACCCTGTTCAGTATCCCATAGGCAAGGATAGGCCTGTCATTGTAACCAGGAAAACAAAACAAAACACCCATCCATCATCATTTAGCTTTGGCAAGAAGATGTCATTCCCACAGTTTCAACTGAACAGTATGGGCAAAATCCAGGCTTTCTGGCGGTGGTGATAAAACTGCTGACTTCAGAGAGGATACAACTTTTTAATACATAAATTTAATTTCTTTTTTATAAGAAATGTTGAAAATAACAATGTGGCTGCTTGCACGCATGTCTAAATTCTTCACATTGCTACCAGGAGATTTGCAGAAGGAGATCAAATATCCACGGTTCCTAGGAGGCACCGCATCAGCAATACCGTGGGAGCGCAGCAACCTTCTAACACTACAAGGCACTTTGAATGGACTATGATAAGCAAAATTATATAAAAAAAAAAGAAATGAAAGAATTAAATGCGAACACACATCTTAGGAAAGGAAGTGGTACGTGATTACAGGGAGAAAAAAAAAATCAAAGTAATGACCAGATATTTATAGAAACCTAATGAGGCAGTGTAAGGCCTTGTGTGACCTCTACAGCTCTAGGAATGAATTTGGCTCACTGCATCTCCTCACATTACAAAGTTCTGCCAAACAAATGGGAAAAGGCATGTGAAAAACAGATGAACACCTTTCTTTCTTCTTTTCAGGAAAATCAGGATATATGGAAAAAAACTTAACTCCTAATGGGATTAAGCTGCCAAGTTTATCCACCTTTGTACCAAAAAAGCCCTATAGATATATTTGACTTGCCAAAGTATCTTAAAGGTTTTTTTTGTGTCTTTTCCACTTGGTTTACTCCCAATATACACGATGTTCTACTTTGTAAAATGGCTGTGCCAACTGAAGAAAATAAAACTGAAGTAGCAGACAATAAATTCAAGAACCTAAAAGCTCAGATTAACTGGATAAAAAAAGATTTTAAAGCAGGAAGAAACCTCTGTTAGCATCTCATCGGAACTTCTGAATAATACAGAATACAAAACTTTATCAGGGAATTTTATTGCATTATCAGAACCAACAATGGGCATGCTGACACTTGAGCGTTTCTTGTTTTTTTTTTTGAAGAGCGGGTAGGAATTTGTCCGTTTGTTCAGTATGTTTTTTCTGGGGCTAAATGAATGGATAAATTTCCTTGAAAATGTGATCTATCTATCTAAAGCTTGGAGCACCAATCAAGGTCCCTCTTTGTTTATACCTGCTAGATTACAGAAACAGCCTGCCCATTGCAACATATGCATTTCTAAAAGTTGCACTTGTACTTTTCTAGGTCTTCTAATTGAATTTTCATTAACTTAAAGCTGATTTCTGGTTCTTCTGAGCTTGATTCTGAGGTTACTAGATTTGTGACTGATTTACAAGATCTCAAAAATCTACTGAATGATAAAGGCCGCTAAAGCACTCTACAGGAAGAAAAAACAAATCATCTAGACCTCAAGCCTTCAGCAGTAGAGAAACTGGCTGAAGTCTTGTGAATGGCATGAAGTGGCTGAATCCATGGGCATGTTGTTTCATGGCTGCTGCTCACAGTGAAATAGATAAGGCCAGAGGAACAGAGGCAAGTTCCACAAGAACAACAAAACAAGAACTTACAGGAGATGAGAGGTACTATTAAGTTTTAGCTGCAGCAAGTGCAGGCTACCTAAGGTGACTTTGTTGGTTGACCAACTATGCAAGCAATGTTTCATCTTGTCATTTCTGTTACCATCTCTCAAGTGCCTCATCTTCCCTCTTTGTTTACATGAGTTTCTTTGAAGCCTTGAGACATAACTGCTTGCCTGCCTCCACAGCACCCTGTTCACATCATGGTGTAAGTCAGGAGTTCTTTCCCTCAGTTACAGAAATCCTATAATGTGCTACAGAAATATGGCCAACTATGTGCGCTTTGGCATGGAGCACTCACTTGACGACTCACAGCAACATAGATAAAAGTGTATAACAAGGCAGGAGAGAAAGAGGAACTCAACTGAAATGACTCAAAATACAACGCAGCTGATTAATTTGGGGGGAATCTGCCACAGTTGACAAAAGCTATACCAAAGCAATTGTCACAAATGTCAATGACTGTAAGATACGCTCTCACTAAGTCTCCGTTTATACTTTGTTAATGATACTAGTGATGCTTTACTGCTCTATTGAAGCCAATGAACCGGTCACTCGGCAATCAAAACAATTCATTTTACCATTTTTAAGACAGCACATTTTGCATCACAGTGGGACTCGGAAACTATGCTTGGGCACAGGTACATAGAAATACAAATGAATGAAGAGCTACTTCATTTGTCCTTAACACGTGAAATTAGCCAGAACTCTCTTTAGGGGTTAACAAGGAGAATCTTTGCAGAGGTAACAATATTATTCTTGTCAAAACATACTTCTCCTATCACATACTTCTGTAAAGTAACTAAAACTATGCTCTAGCCATCCACATTAATCCTACCCAATGCTGAGCAGCCACATTCCTCCCGCATTGTTTAGAATAACTGTTTACTCCAAGGCCTAAGTGTTCTGAAAAAGAGAGTGAGGAAATGGCAGCTGGGTTATATATGTTTTTGCTGCAGATCATTAATGCAGGAGTTGGCTATGCATCACACTCCTCACTCAAATGGGAGTCGAAGACTAAAGCAGACACAGCACCATGCCAAACTTCAGGGAAAAGCTACCATGTGGAAGGAAGATATTTGCTTACTCTCTGCAAGTTCTGTTTATCTACATTTATCTATATATTTATCAGTCATGGCTTTACAAGATTTTCCATATATGCTGTGAACATCAATACGGAGAAAGCTTTTTAATCCTATCCCTGTATCTATGCGTGTCTGGATGGGTGTGTACATACATTTTAGAAACATCCAGCAGTCAGACAAACTTTTGTTAATTGCCTTGTACTGGAAAAAATCACCGCTGACTAATATTTTTTTGCCAACTCAGCACCTTTGCAGTTGGGTCTGTCTTTACTGGTTGACTTCTTCCTCACTCCTGTGTACTTTGCAGTGAGTTAGTAAGGGACTGCTCCATGTGACTGTACTCAGTACACTCACATAGTCAGTACTTCCACATTGCTGCAATTTAACCCTCTGTTCTTCTGTAACACATCTAGGGAAATGCACATAAAATAGGAGAGATGTGACAGAGTAGAAATTGTAGAACTGTATCATGATTCTGTGTAGTAGGATCATTAGCAAATGACCATTTCCACAGCCAGAATATTATCTATCAGTAAGTATTTTTGTAGTTATCTGAACACAGCATTTTCAGTACTCCCGTGAGGCAGAGAAACAGTAGTTAATAGTAGTTTTCATGGCAAATATATGATAATTATTATTATCATCTTTATCCCACAGTTAACAAATACGAAGTGGAAAAGGCCCATATTGTGTTTAAACTGATATAGACACAAAGACCAAAAACTACGATTTTTGCTCTTAGCTTACCCGAATGCCATAAATGGAGCTAATGCCATAGAAACTGAGATTTTCTGTATTTCAGCATCCACACATTTCAATCTCCAAAGGGCTGAAAAGCTAATTTTCTATCTTACACCTACACATGACCAGGAATATCTAGTGAAATATTCCTCCAGTTCCACAGCTCTGAGGGTATCTGACCTAGTATGTGTATCCCACATATACCTATGAGGCACAAAACATACTGTTGGCTGTTACATTTGGCGTCACATAGAAATGTCTGTCATAGCTAATGCTACATACACTATTAATGCTCTGGAGAAGCAAGGAGAGAGAAGTAACACAAGCACGGGAGAAATCTTTAATGGATAAGACAGAAGAAGAAATTCCCATAAATTCAAGGCCTCAAAACCTGTGGTTATAATTGTACAGGTACTACTTAAACCACTTTTCAAAGAAGATCTTATCAAAGATGCCTGGGTTACTGCCATTCTCCAGAGCAAGACAAAATGCGCTAGCTAATTTGAGAACACATCTTTTCTTTTTGTGCAGCTGGAGTTTTGGCACAGCACAGCTCTGCTCTGTTTGGAGCCTTGTAAAAGTCACTTATCAGAGCACACGGGCAGTCAAACAGAGCTCTGTGAACATTCCCACTGGAACCGCCAAGGAAGTAACAGCTCCCTGAGGATTAAGTTCTTTCTAGCTTAAAAGAAAGAGTCTGTGTTACTGCAACATAATGGCCATCATCTGTAACCTAGATCTTGGCTGATTTCTTTCACATGCTTTTTCATTTTCATTCAGAAAGGGGAAAAGAAAAAAAAAACTAATAGTTTGTAGGCAACTTCATGGCATCAAATGGTGGACATCAGAACACACACTGTCCCTTCCCTGAGCCCTTCCAAACAAACTCAGCAGCTCATCTTCAGAGAAAACCTGAGAAAAGGGAAAGAGTCCCATCAATCTTCTCTGGACAGGGCAGAAAGCAGGGGACAGATATTGTTCCCTCTTACAGAAACGCTTAGCAGATACTTCAAGTTAAGTGTCTCCTACATGCCTGTAGACAGGCATATGTGCAGTTTGTGCAGTCTTAAGTGTGCGCAGTTTTGGGACAGAGGTTGCTTTCTCTGCAGTCACCAATCACTCTGGTTCTGAGAATAAGGAACCAGGAACTAGTATCCCACATAGCAGCACAAACACAAAACACTGCCTGGAAACTAGTGGCTCATCCTGATTTCAGCAAAGGTTTTGTGTAAAATAAAACCAAGTGAGGTCAGCTTGATACTTTGGTGGCTACCATTTTGGTTCTAGGCTCTACAGAATGTGTCATCTGCATCTCTCTCTGGCATTTTGGCCATTTTCATATTTTAAATATGATGCAACTTCTCTCACTGGAAATTTTTCAAGCAAGCTGCTAACATGAAGGAATGATATAGATGCCGAGTTTCCAAATACTCACTTTCATGAATATTTTTCCTCTCAGAAGGCAGTCTGCTGACTGATCAGAAGTTGCAGTGCTGGAGCAGGAGGTAATAAACTCTGTCCACACTGATGACTGGTCAATATAATTACAAGGGAACTTCACTGACTTGAAAAGGGGGCAATGTTAAATAAAGCTTGAATTCTTAGAAAATTTGAACCTATTTACATTACAATCTATTGACTCCTGATGACTTAAAACATGCTGGTCCTTTGCAGAAGATTTATCAGATACAGAGAAGTCTAAAGTCCTCTCTGAAACTGGCAAAGTAGGTAAATTGACTGAAAAAGGAAACCTACTTTAGAGATCTAACTAGAGATGCCTCTGTTCATAAGCAAGTATTCCTATACACTGAACAGAGAGAACTAACTTATTATAAAAGACTAATTCGTCCCCTGGCACCTATCCATTTACTCCACAAGAAGCCCCAAAAGACAGCCCTGTTTTTGCAAACTCTAAATCCAAGAAACATCATAAAACACATCTCCTTACCTGCTCTGTGCAGAGCTATCAGGTACATGGTACATGAAGACGTTTCCTCTGGAGTCGGCAGCCCAGCGACTGGCCATGTTTATGATGGGACATGTGATAAACTGGTCACTGATAAAAAGGACGAGCAGGGAACAAACACAGGGAAAAAAAAAAGGGCAACAAGTAAGACTCTTTATATATTGATAGACGTCTATAAATCTTCCAAAATATGGTGTGTCTCTGTCTTCAAAAAGCACAGAAGCAAACCACATTCACCTTCCTTAAGACCAGTACAGCTTAAGATCCACTAAAATTTATCTAGAATTGCTTTTTTATAGAGCGTTGAACAATACACAGGATTGGCACATAAGGAGCAATCTGACCCCAAACCAATCTTTTCTTCCTTCTTGCTGTTAGGTTATCCAGGCTCAGACTTGCAGCAGTATAAAACTGTTGCTCTGGAATTAGTAGGTTGCAATGACATCTAGTAAAAGATTTTATGCATTTCCTTGGTTAAGGATCAATAATATCATTTCTGCCTTTGGATCAGCGTGATTTTGTACAGAGCTTCCAGAGCTGAGGGAGGAAGAGACCAGTTTTCCTGATGTCCTGCATGGCAACTATCTGGAGGGCTCAGCAGTGTGGAATAGCTTGTGCAGCTGTCTGGAAGAGAAAGGTTAAACAAGAAGGGTATGGTGAGGTAGTTGCATGATCCATTTATCGGGAGGTACTGCAAAGCAAAGGTATTAGTGAAGGGACATACATCCAAACCTTCCTAGCTGCCATTGCCTCAAGAAGAGGGGCTGGGAGTGTGGAAGGGGGTGAGCACTGGCTGGGAAGAGTACAAGGAGCCCAAGAGGGCAGACATACAAATGGACACCTTACTGCAAAATACGTTACTATAAGCAAAGCAGTACTACATATATATATATACATGTGTGTGTGCGTATATATACACCAGCACCCCCATTTTACATGTGCCCAAGGACTCTCTGGGTGTTTATATATCCGTAACTATGTGAGCACACATGAATGTATCTGCTACGGAAGTGGAACGTTTCAATTCTCAACCTGGTGAACCTGAAACACTGTTCCTGCAAACCCAGTTAGGTTAAAAAAAAGAAGTGCATGACTGATTACAAGAAACAACAGTGACAGAGAAGCATAAAAACATGTTGCTTTATTTAACTATAATGGTTATGAAAGCCACCACTGGGGCAGCTATCTTTGTTCAGCAGAGATTATTTTAAGCCCATTTCCGAGACCACAAGCTATGGGCTGACTGACCACAATGCTCTTTGACAGTTATGGTTGACAACACCCTATGAAATGAACTGTTCTTCACATACCTACCAGCATGAGGCTTACAAGAGCAGAAGGACTTTGAAAAGTCAGGAGGCTGCTGAGAGCATTAGTGCTCGAGAAATGCTTTTGGAAGTATTCACTACTGAAAACTGTTTCTCAGTTGGCACTACGAAGGAAAAACATCAACTATCTGGGAGAAATTAAAAGCAAAAATTGTAACCACAAAATTAAATGGCTCTTTCTTGCAGGCCCAGAATACTGCCACTCACAAAAGGAAGAAAGGAGAAGTGAAGTGAAATTCCTTTTATACCTGGAAATATATCAGAAAAATGAAGCTAAAACAATTTTAAAAGTGGAAGTGCTTTAAAACCACAATATATGCACAATATATACAGTTTATAACAACCAGTTTTTGTTCTTTATTGTTCTTCATAACCTTCTAAAAATTTAGCAACTAATTAAAACTTATTAGCATAAAATGTATATATGTATATAAAAAAGGATTAAATATTTCTGCTGCTCCTAGTTATTTTTAAAAGGGAAGAAGACTAAACTCCTCTCTCTTCCCACTGTGTAACACTGATGTAGGTAACTGTAAGTTAGACTGTAAGACAGACTGTAACACTTGCACACAGCAACTATTAATTGCTGACTGCCTTCTCTGCTGGAGCTGGAGCAAATTTTAAAGGGATTAAAGCAAGGGATTATCGTCAGGTGTCCTGGTTTCATTTCTGATCCTTCTGATTGCTTGTGGTGAGCATTAAACCAAGCATTTCTTGCCCTAGGAGTTGTTGTCTGCTCCACAGGAGAAATAAGCAGGTAATTCTTATGCCCATGAGGATGCTGTGGGTCACAGGCTGAGTCAGAAGTGTCATTTGGATCCTGTGTTGCTGCTCAGACAGGTGACACACTAGCTGTCAGAGCTCTGTGAGAGTCAGAGTTGGGGTTTGCACCATGCTGAGCCCTGGGATGAAGGTGGCTGACAGAGGGCAACAGCCCTGTGCCATGATGGGTCCTTACTGAGGTACCTCTGGATGGGTCAAAACTTAATCCCTTCACTGCTTCACCTCACTGAGCTGACCAAGTGGTGGTCAGCAAAAGTGGTCACCAAAAGTGGTGATGAAAAGAGATTCAAGATGAGTTCTAACTTTGCCTTTCATGCCTATAAACCACTGCACTTTCAAGTGTTTTTAGGTCAGAAGCCACATGTGAGGCCACCAGACAGTGGCAGCCGCCTTGCTTGTTTACTCCATGACCTCAACACACCTGGACCACCCAGAAATGTTCCCCAAACAGATTTGGTCACTGCTGTGTTGGATCAGGCTTTTCCAAGGGAATCTTGGCTCCTTTTCAGCCTTCATGTGAGGCTCTCCTGGAGCAACAGCCTGTGCTTCTGATGAAGGTCAAAGGGCTACCAAAAGGAGGAGCTGATCCCTAATGTGTCACAGAGAAGCCCACAGTGCAGAAAACTGCAGTGCTGAGAGTGCAGATGCCACCAGCTGGTAGCCACGATGCCTTTTGTCAAAAGAGGAGTGAAACAGCTTGGGCGGCATGTTAGGAGCGCTCAGAGCTCACACGGGCAGGTTATAAAACAAACCACTTTGGAAACAGAAAGTTTTCAAAACCAATTTTGCACACACGAAGCAGAGACAAGAAAAAGGAAAGTTTTTTGATTTGTTTTCTGCAAATGTATCCCACTCAAACAGCCCCAGATTTTGCACGGAGGCAGTGAAAGGAGGAGATTTCGTCTGAGTTTTCCTCCTTTCACAGAAATGGCCACAGCTTCCAGACAGCTCTCTCAGCTACAAGAGTTAAAGCACACTGTCTCCCAGGGCAGGAGAGAGCAAAATCAACAGTCTTCTCTATAGAGCAAGACACATATCAAAGCCACCATGTCACCCAAGCTAAAGATACCAGCCAGTGTCTGCGGCCTACCATAGGTGCCAGTTTTGGTGTTAGGATTAGTCTTGGTGTTCTGTGCAATCTTGCTTCAACAGGACAATGAACTATTCAATGAATTATTCATGCTGACAGCTATCCAAAACAACTGGACCTGAAACCATATCCAGTTCATGGAGAGAAAGATCATGAGGTCCAAGTTATGCACATGGCCCTGGCCAGGAACTAAATCCTACTGGTCATCCTCCTACTCCTGATGGTCTTGACTGCCACATATTATACTTTGAATATTTCAATTCAAAGTATTGGAGAGTATAAATCGGATGCCAAGGGTCTGCACATTACAGCTATGTCCACTGGATGAGCCTAGGAGGTATTGGAGATCCTAATGGATCAAGCAGAGGGCAAGAGGTGGAATCATGTGTTTTCTCATAAGACTTTATATTCCTACTGAAGTACCCTACAGCCTGATTCTGTTTTCTCTCACCATGGAAAACCACACAGACTGGGGAGCAAAATGCTAATTTGGTGACTTCACACATAAATGATTACACAAGGGTAAGGAAATAAGCCTAAGGGGATTCTTCTGTCATAGGTTATTTATTTCTAAAATAGAGATCAGCTATGCACAGAACTGGGTCGAGAGTCACTTCGCTGAACATTTGCAAATACTTCAGGTTTCCATAGATGACTCACCTGTAGAAAGCCTGACATTAGGAAGAAAAGTATTTTCCAGATTTGATAATATAAATCTCATATGATTGCTGGAACCAGTGTTTTCAAACTTGACCACCTAAAGCTAGCATGTACCTAAATAATCTTTTAAAAGTAATTCAAAAGTATTTAATTTCAAGTTTTCAGTATTTCTGCAATCTTCAAGAATGGCTGTAAGGTCTCCAAATTTTTATAGCTAGGAAAAGTATCTAATTATAAAATTAGTAGCTATCTTTGGGAAAAAAAAAAGTCTATTCTGCTGTCACGGGGGATGAGAAGGCTCAAGCAACAGCTGATGTGTAATGTGCAAACAAACAGGACATCTTGGCTATTAATGAGGGTACAGAAAAATATTAGTTTTCTAATTGAAACATTTCAGAACCTAAAAAATCATTTCAATTTCTGTTTACGATTGACACTGGAAAATTCATGGAAAATGAAATTGTGTACTTGCTTTTGCCTATTTTCTGCTCATTTGCATAAGTATTTCTTCAAAATATAAATGTACAATCGAAATAATCAAAGCAAGTCTTACTTAACACAGTCACACAGTTTTAATAAGATGAATTTCTTACCGGGTGGCATTTTCCAAAGCCCTGGAAAAGGATGAATAATCATCATTTGAGTGTTCAAGGGAGTAATACCATGTAGCTGCATCTTCAAGGAACACATTGGATTCTTCTCCTCCTAGAGAATTTTGCAGAGCCTGATAAAAGGCTGTTTTGCTGTTGCCTCTTCCTTGACTTTCTTCAAATTTCTGAGAGCAAAACACATGAAATTTACAAACAGCCATAAAAGATGCATTTTTTTTTTTCTGGAACAATCCAGGCTCAGATCTCCCTCTGCTGGAACAAGTCCTCTGTAGTCCAATCCCTGATCCCTAGGGCAAAGTTCCTGCTTTCTCAAGACAATCACCCCGCAGCAGGATCAGGTTCATAGAATCGTTAAGGTTAGAAGGGACCTCCAGAGGTCATTCAGTCCAACCTCCCTGCACATGCAGGGTCACCTAGAGCATGTGGCACAGGACTGCGTCCAAGCAGGTTTTGAAGATCTCCAGAGAAGGAGACTCCACAACCCCTCCTGGCAACCTGCTCCCTCTGTGACTTTTCTTAAAATGTCTATGAAAAATGTGGCTGCCATAAAGCCTGTATGTAAGTCTGGAATGACATGTGCCTTAGTCCAAGAAGAGAAATCCCTCTTCTCCAAATCCCATATCAGGAATCCTCAAACTTCACAATCCTTTGCCTTTCAGACAAGCTTATGGCACAATGCCTTTCTCCCAGTTCTTCTGCAGATGAAAACCTTTCCTGATATAAAGCACCCAGAGCATTGAACACACATCACTGCAGAATTACTGACAACAGGGAGACCATCTCCTACCGCAGTCTGTTTACTTGATGCTATTTTTAAAGAAGCTAAGGTCTGCTACATTTTTTCAACATATCTTTCCTTGAAAAAGCTTTTTATTTTATCCTTCCAGATTTGTCACACTCTTTTTGGACAGAATTTATTCCAAGTTTGGAAACAGAGAACCTTTATGAAAATAAAATATGGAACTTCAGCTTTCCTGTGGATCAAGTCTCTTCTAAAGAAGGCACCTTGCAGGTGCGCACTGGCTGAGACTTTGTATATGAATTCCAGAGAGAAAGATCTAATAAACCGCCTATATTATTTTGGGCAACCAGTCTGAAGCAAAATAGATCAGTGTCCACTCAGTCAAGTTACCATAGATGCTTTACTGAATATATTATTTTGATGGCCCACAGCTGGTTTTCATCACATAACTAGAAGGTCTTTCCACAACTCTATGCAGAAAGTACAGAGGGAATAATTGCTTTTCAACAGATTTACAGAAATGAAAGATGGAAAATAAGTCCCCTTTTGCAGAGGCCTAGGCCTGTCATTACGTACTCTAATGCTTTGCACAGTTCAATTACTTTACTTTTTTACTTTACCTTTACAATTACTTTACTTCTACAATTACTTCCAACTTCTTTAAAAGGAATTTCAAAATATCATAAGGTCCCAAGAAATCCTGGCAATTTCCCTTGTATTTATATTGAATTCTTCTTTTGCTAGATTTTGGCTCATACAAAGTGAGAATATTCACGTGGTGCTAGTGTTGGTAAAATGGCAATATTTTGAAAAACTCCGCAACTCACGCATGACACATCACTTCATATGCACAAATGTCACATAAAAAACTGCACAGCATAATTTCCTGCAAAATCACTCCATTTGCACACAGAAGGGACACGTATATTTTACTTCAAGAAAGACCTGACTGAGAGCTCACTGAATTCAGAAGTCATCTTTCCACTGGCTTCAGCAGTCTTCAAGTCCCTATTAAGCAGCAGTGGTGCTGCTTTCTAGCTATCTAACAAGATCTCTTATTTGGTGACTGATGCTGGTGGTTTTAGTCGTGAGTATGGTTAAGAATAGACGTGTTTGTTTAGCACACCAGAGCCCAAACTCTTAAGTGCAGAGTGTTCTGTCCAAAGGAACTTTCCTACAATGCTTTCATTTTGTTTCTGTTAATGGATTTGGTACCTTATTCTTCACTAGTCATGGATACTTGAAAGATAGAAATAGAGAAAGAGAGAAAAAAATAGATTGGGGACAGATTGGGTACTCTAGTACTCTGATGATTCTTCACTCTCTCTTCATCTAGCAAGCATCACAAAAATACGACTTTTGGAAAAGAAGAAAATAAGAAATGAAGGAGATGGTGGTATCACCTTCAGTGCACAGTTTATGGGAAAAAAAAACAGTTGATTTTTTTCAAATACAGAGAGACCAATTCGGGTTAGGACGTCCCCTGAGCTGCAATGCTAGAGGCTGGGAGAGTATGGGGCAGAAGTACTGTATTTACTTGCCCAGTTCTTACCAGCATCCGCTCTTAGGCACTGCTGAAAACAGCATTCTGCATTAAATGAGCTTTTGCTCTGACTCAGTGTGGTCGTTCCTAGGTCTTTTCTTGTGCTTATGAACTAATTTCTGTGATCTTCAAAATGCCCCCCAAATTCTGGTGACCCTTCTCAGCATTGATAATAGACTGGGGTCCCTGGGGTGTGTTAAGCCAGCTGAAAGAAGATTCAACAGGCAGAGCTGGATGAAAAATAGAAATAGCATCTGTAAGATATTTTGAGATTTTTCATTCTAATCATACACAAAAAACCCACACTGGGGCATTTTGTTTCAGGAGTCATTTTGACTGCAATATAATTTAAAGATCTGACATTAACATGATAATACAAACATTTTTAAAAAAAAGTACATTCTACCTTCTGCTAATGCTTTTAAGAGCAATTGACCTCAGAGTTACAGTGTTTTTTTCCAACACATTTTCTAAATAGGTGAGAAAGGTAATTAAGGACAGCAGGCACACTGCTTTCCACTGCTCTGGTGATGAAAAGCCTTAACGGCTTTTGATAATCTCTGCAAGACATGAAGAAAAGCCTACTAGCAGTTCACCAGGGGGATCTCAAGAACTCCAGCTAGCTGCAAGATGAAATGAAGGGCAAATATTAGCCTGTCCTCCCCACTGATGGCATTTAACAGGACACTGCTCCTCAGGTCATCACAGTTAATATATATCTGCCATCTGCATACAGCTGAATACTTTTACTGTGGTGGAAGTAGAAATCTGGTTGCTTACAAGAGATAGATTACATTTCTATCTTCTGCTCCTCACCATTTCCCTGCTGTGGACTCTACAGCTAGCTAGATTTGTACTAAGGGAATAAACAAACGAAACACAGAAAGTGCAACTTTAGTCTACTAAATAGAAAGAAAATTAACAATCCTTGCAATGCAGAGGGGGCCCAGGATGTACTGGTGGATATAGAAAGCTCTCTACTGCCATACATGCATATACTAACAAACACACATATAGATCAGAATGAATGAATTTGTATATTCAGTGCCAATGGGAACCATCAGATCCTCCCAGCTGAGCATCACATATAACAGCGATAAATTTTTGCCTCACTGGGGATTGAAATAACCAATTTTAGAGGTTCTCGCTCAGCAGCCCAAATCTGTGACTGCTCAAAGATAATATCCTGATAATCTGCCTGGGGAATTGTGGTAACAGGTTCAGCCTTAATAGCACTATATGCCACATAATAGTGTATTATGGTACCACATGCAATCCGCTTAATAGACTCTGCTTTATTTCTCATTTAGTCTCAGCCATCTGATGGCTGCACTGGGGATGAGTATGAAGTGTCCCAGGAAGTGATAAATCCGTCTCAGTTCCCATGGATAAGCATTCAGGTGAGTGCCATAAAGCAGTCACTTCCTTGAAAGGACAGACAGCATGAATGCTCAGCTCTCTGCTACAAACATCACCTTTACTGATAAGCAGACACTTTTTGCTAACATAGAATTGGTTTCTCTTGTGCCTCCTGTCATTTTCTTTCATTGTTAATTTTGAAAGTCTTACCAAGCGAAACACCCTGCACAGCCAAACACCAGTAAGTCCCATAGAGCAACATGGCGCAAACAGGATTTACCACCTCCAAGTCTGCATGCAGCCTGGAGGTTTGAGCCCCACTCGTAAGACTGGACCTGTGGTCTGAGAGGATAAGATCTGCATCCTGTCTCAAGCAGCCTTGTATCTATGTGGCTAAAAGTGTCTCCTCATCATTTACAGAATCAAAACTAAGAGAGCAAGCCCAGGCAGGATTTCCTGAATTTGCTAGCACAGATATTCCCAGTAACTGAGGCAAGTGGCCAACAAGACCCAAATGTTTTTGTTTTGTGGTGTTCTGTTTTCCATCTGCCACTCTTTGCATCTGGCTATGCTTGAATCTGTCATTCTATATGAGATGGGAACAAAGAATCTCGCCAGCTTCATGCACTCAATCCCGGGACCATTTAGCTGTGCCATTTATCTACCCAGGCACCTGCATGGTTATTCTCACTACAGGATTGGAGCATATCCACAATCAAAGGTGGATTTTCTCCATGTTGCAATATTGATAAGAGAAGGTAGTTTGGCCCCAGAAGGGTTTGATTCCCTTTTTACAGGCTAGGTTAAACAGCTGGTTGCAGTCACCGGCAAACTGGGAACTAAGCACAATTCAATGCTTTATCTAGTCAAGTCATCACTTTCCTCAGAATATGCAGGAAAATAGTTTGGACTTTCCCAAACAGATGCAAGCCAGATCCGCTTTGAGAGAAACCTTTAAATAACTAAGGTAGAAGAGGGAGGTACAGCATAGGACCTCTCAAAACGTTCTACTAGATCAACTGTGAGAAGAGGAAAGGAGCATTAGCCCACATCACAATTCCTCACGATATTCTGATTCAGGAAATTGGGCACAGATGTCTTGATAAGAATCAGCACACGTGTTGGATTCTCCCACTGGGGTTAAATATGCCTGTAGCTTATTCAGGATATTATTAGCTAAGTTTGACTGCAACCATGCATGATCATGCCTATAATGCACCAATGCTCATAGGCACCTGCAAAATATATTTTTATAAATAATTCAATGAAGGAGGAAGTACAAAGATTTCCCAGCAATTAATATACTATGTGCTTGGCTTGGACAAGAGAAAAAAAAAAAAAAAAGAAGAACTGGGAGTTTTAACCTTGCAGCACATCTTTAAGAAAGCAATCTAAGACAGTAAGATGGGCAAATTTGTATTCCTCAATTCTGAAACCTAAAGATACAGGAAGGGAGAAACATCAGGAAAATGTAGATTAAAAAAAAAGTCCATTTTCAGTAAGAACATGAATGCATGTTCTTGCAGAAGAATGACTTGCAGAAGTCAAAAGGGAGAAAAAATATAACTGCCTACCATGAATAGTATAAATTTTCTGGAAAAGAGTTTTTGATTTACAGCAGCAGCACCAAGTGAGGTTCTTAGATACTATATACAATGCCAGAAAAAGGAAGTGTTCTTCTAACTAAAGATAGTTAAACCCTTGCCAAGGGATATCAGAGGCTCTCCAACAGAAGGAGATTTTAAAACATCTCTCTCAAGTTAAGGTCAGTGTAACCATTTCTCAGGTTTGTACTAACTATTTGAACCTTATGACCTGGTATTTCCTAAAAGCTTGTAAATAAAGAATATATTCCATCTTTTCCTTTTTTAAAGGCATCATTTTACCATCACAATGGTAAACACAGTTGCAAGTGTTTTTTCTTGTCATTTCAACCTGACATAGCTGGCTTTCACACTTGAAGGTTTCACTGACAGCATGATTTGCTGCATGGAATTTCATCAACTCGTTTTTCCTGGCCACCGTAGCATGTGGAAGTAGTAGTAGTAAGAGAAAGAATTTCACTTCCTAATCTTCATCACATGACTTGTACTGTTACTACTAAGGTTTATTCCCCTCTAACAGAATTTGGATCATTACCTGCAGCTCTGATTCTATACCTGATTTCTACTTCTAATTGATTACAAAAGAAAAGGAGGATACATGAAATAAGAGAAGAAATTGATGGAGACTAATGCAATATCATTTTTTCTTTTTTTTTAAAAAAAAACTTTTTTCAAAGGGGTCATTTTCCCAATAATTCTGAAGTGAAATGGTCTATGCGTTACTGGTTAGAGCAAAGAAAGTGGTTCCTTCTACTGCCTCCCATGAGATGGGATATACACATTTACAGAAAGATAGCAGCAGACCTTCAGCTCACGTAGATAACCCTTAAAATAGTTCCTGCTGTCTTAGAATCTCTTGTTGACTCTGTTATCTTACACTAGAGCGCTTTGCAACATGCAGTCTCATTTAGCAATGTTAAATGGGGAAGTGTTTTTGTTCCTATTGTCGAGCTGGGCAGCTGAAGTGGAAGAGGTTGATATGCTCAAGAACAGATAGTGCAAGAGGGTTCACAAGAGGATGCAAAAACCCTTCAGGAAGATCTTCATGCTTTTGAGGGCTTTTATATCCAAAGCAAAGCACAAAAACTTCACTTCAGCAGGTTATTCCTATTCACTGTAGCTCTCAGATGAGGCCAATACTTAGTCAGAGTTAGCCCTTGTGCAGGCATCTTAAAAGAAGGAAAAATTCTTACAGGCATGAAGAAAAGTGATTGGCACAGAAATAGTTGGCATGAAAAAGACTAACTAACTGAGCCATGCCCCACAGTCAAGACCTTACCAGCCAAGTTTAATATGACTTTGCTTTCTTCTTAGTAGGGTAAAAATGAAACTGCAGTATTGAAAGGATTTTCAAGTCAGTCAAACTTGTTGCTAGATACTAATGCAGACTACATCAGTGTTGATCTCTCACTTCTTCATATCTTCCCCTGAATTGTTAGTCAACAGGTATGATCATTCCATTAATCAGCCAAAACAGGATTGGCTGATGATGGAGAATACCCTTACATATTTGTATGGAGTATAATTCATGCACTGCAGAAGTCAGAAAGAATCTGTCCAGCTAGCAAAGAATTACTACATACATATAATAAAAGCACTACCATCAATTCCTTAATAGTGTGTCTCTTCCTACCTTAATTGCCTTAGCTCTGCTGATCAACCCATCCTGCTGAGCACTTCCAATGAGCAGGTCAACTTTCCGAAGCTGAGGACGCTGAAGGGCTTTAGCTAAAGGTTCCCGGAGGTAAATTCCATCCATCACTGGACCCCAGTACTGGAATGGTCCGCTTATGGCAAGGAGCTAGGTTAGGAAGGAAGCAATAATGCAGTTCATTAGCTTACCCCCATTGTTTCCAATTCATCTATTTTTCAGAGAACTGAACTGAGTCCTTTAAAGAGGACAAGTGATCAATTAATATAGCTGCAAACCCCCAGCTGGCAGGAAGCAATGCTTTAGATGTCAGGCTCAACAGAAAAACTAAGAGCTTTGACGCCCAAGACAATGGAGGCCTTATTAGTCATGAAAAATGTTATTTTAAATTAGAGATTGGTTCAATGATGGGCATGACTGGAAAATACATTGCCAGTGAATGTTTTCCTCCGTGGGTAAAGTGATCCATTTACAAAACTGTTTGTACTCCAGGTTGCACAAGCTCAGGGTTGAGTCAAAACACTGATATCCCTTCCCACTTCCTTTTCTGCAGAAAAGCTACTATCAAAGCTACAGAACCTGATTCTCCATGAGCATAGCATCCTCTGGCAGTAGAGACAGAACTGAAAGGATGCAAAAACTATATTTAGAATCATTTGGAAGATATGATCAATGCAGTGTAAAGGGATTTTAATCTAAGCAGCAGCTGTGCATATTTTTGCTGACGTTTGGTGCATTGTGGACATCAGTATCATGCACCAAAGCCATCCTGGTTCCTCTTTCTCAAGAATTCAGCCTGAAATGTATTTTTCAAGCTTTCTCCCAGCTTCCTACCATGGGAACTGCTTGTTAGTTCCTTACATAATGGCATGTATATTGCTATGGTGTACCTTAGTCTGTGCATCATTGAGGACACGAGCAGGCAACTGGCGGAGGCAGGTTATAATTTCTTCACTGGTGGATGAAGGGCATCCAAAATCCTCAGCCAGAACTGTTGCTTGGGTCTTTGCTTTCTTCTCAGTTATGATGGATGCTGGAGAAAAAGCTGAACCCCCCTGGAAAATGAAGGCTCTTGGTCAATGCATCCTGTCAAAATACCTGATCTTCTAGTGCAGGTAACAAAGGATGAGGAACAAAATCTAGATGGTCACTGAATGTGAAAACCGATATTCTAAAAATAGGAAACATGTCCTAATGATAAAAGAAAAGGGGGAGGAGGAGAGATTTTGGCTGTTTCTCATCCCTGCCACTGACATTTTGAAAAATCTCTGAATCATCTCCACATTCAGTCTATAACAAAGTCACAGATCATCCACACAATATCATCATCTGAAAAATTTGCTGGACACACTCAGACAAAAACAAATATAAAAACGTTGCTCTGAGGCACATCATGAATGGAGGCCCCACTTTATAAGAGGAGACTAAATAGAGTCTTGCTTGCTTAACTTTAAAAAAACAAAGATTGACAGTGGGCATGATCTTTATGAATGATTCAATGAAGAAGAGCCACATATGACTTAAGACTACACATTCTAATATAGCTGATCCAAAGAGAAGTAAGGGTGTAGAACAGCTATGAGCAAAGACAGTGGGAACAAAAGCTTAACCCACCTTAATCTAGGTCTTAAGGAATTAATATTAATTGTGGTATATGTTACAGTATCAACAATAGCTGTAAACTGGACACAGTGACCGGGAGTTTCCATGAATTTCCTTTTTATTTTATTCTGACAGTGATCACGGCTTTCACTGAGCTTTACCATGCACTGATTATTGAGGTGCACATCATAAGCTTCATGTGTGGGCACAGATCATGCTTCCAAACCTCACCTATTTCTTATGCAATTACTGTTTTATATCCCAACATCCCAGACTTAGCTATATATATTGAAAATGTTCTTGAGTTCTTTGCTAGTACTGCTGCTAATATGAAAATCAAGCTAATTTCCCTTTTTTTTTTTTCCACATCTTGGGGGCTGATGTTGCAGTATTAAAAATTAACAGTGAAGAAACACTACCTGGTAATTTAAAGCTAGATCTGGAGCTCAGCTTGCAAAACATTACAGAATCACAGAATCCTTAAGGTTGGAAGGGACCTCTAGAGATCATCTAGTCCACCCCCCCTGCTCCAGCAGGGACCCCCAGAGCACGTGGCACAGGGTGGCATCCGGGTGGGTTTTGAAGATCTCCAGAGAAGGAGACTCCACAACCTCTCTGGGCAGCCTGTTCCAGGGCTCTGTCACCCTCACAGGAAAGAAGTTCTTCCTCACAGGGAGGTGGAACTGCCTATGTTTCAGCTTACACCCATTACCCCCCGTCCTGTCACCATCCACCATGGAGAAGAGCCTGGCCCCAACCAAAACCAGAGCAGTGTCAAAATCAGAGCACCCATTAAAGTCCAATCTCTAGGCCAAACTCCTTTCCCATCTTCCCTGCAGCTGTGGCAGCATTGGAAGCGAATTCATTAAGAAAAGATGGTTATTTTTGAATAACCACAAAAAATGCTTATTTAAAATGCAGATAAATTAGCATAAATCTGATAAGATCTGACCTGGAACAGAATAACTATGACATGGGTCAAATGACTAATTTCCAAACATTTAGATAAGTTTACTATAACTGCTAAGATTAGCTTCTTTCTTCTCAAAAAAAAAAAGGCAGATACATGATATGAAAGACCCTGATCTATTCAACTGATAAGCTTCCTTTAAACTGAACTTGCACAAGGCATAACTATAAGTCTGGAAAAAAAACGCACCACCAACAACAAAAAACAACTTAGTGAGGAGCAAGTTTAAAAGAAATAGAAAGCAAAAATCAAATCCTCAGTTTGAAACTGACTCAAACTTTGAGTCTGGGAAACTTTGTGCAGCTCTAGCAGGCACCCAGGTCATTTTTTATATATACGTATATATATACATATATATATATTTATATATATTTTCAACAAGCAGACCCATTGATTCTAATAGCACAGCATTGGTCACAAGTGGAGAAATTGCTTTCCAAAAATAATTAGAAAGAGGTTATTGTGTGGATGCAGAGAGAGTTTTTTCAGCTTTCTCTCTTTAGAGCTTCCCGTGTCACTACCTTCCTGTAAAGTTTCTCTTTGTTTCTTCGGGTTCTGGGAAACAGATCACAGCACAGTTATTTCTTAGCTTAATAACTGCATTACCGGTTGGTTGCAGATAAGCAAGAGAGAAAGCCAAGATGGTCAATCCCAAGGGACCAAAAACAAGCATCATCTCCAGTTTTGAGAAGGCAGAAGAAATACAGGAAAAGGAACAAGCAGCCCTTGGTATTACTCCTCAGTTCCACCCTCAATTAGATGAGAGCTTGATTGAGTAAAATCTTTATCCTCATCTGGGCTTGTAGTGGCCTATTTTGTGTTTGCAAGGCAGGATATTTGTCTGCTGCAGACTAAGTGCGCTGACTCAGTTGTTCAAAAGAAAGAAAGAAAAATATCCTCGATTAGAGCATCACTGTGTGGGTGAGTCCCCAGGATGCAGAGAACACTGCCTTCTTGCCTTGGCCTCTGACATGTTCGCCAGAGCTGCAACAGAGAAAACTCAGAAAATATTTTCCCCACATTGACTTCACCAGAACAGTAGCGTCCCGGCTCTTCACTTGGAGCAAGGAATTGGGGGGCCACCTTGGTGTAGCAGAGAATTTACACCTAGGATCAGGCAACACCACGGCCCTCCAGCCTTGCAGATTTACTCCTAAACACCAGCTCTGGAGGTGCTCAGCATCCTTTATCAAGTGTCCAGTACCTCCGAGTGACGTGAATAATAGATAAAAGATTAGAGGAGTTCAGTTTCCCAAATTCTAAAAGTGGAAAAAAGTTGCCTAATTACAAGGCTGAATCTGACGGGGAAACAGAGCACTATGATCAGATGACACACATATAATCACAAAATTTTCTGGGAACAGTTAAAGCATTTTAAGTTATGCTTAGTTTTGAGCACATCACATGTTAGGCATTTGAGAACCTGTGCAAAATTCCCTTGCCCCATTTGGATATGTGGACCAAAAGTCTGCCCCTGGGTGAAGATACCAAGTCAAATGGCAAGTGCAAAAGGGTCTGAATAGAAGTGTCCCACAAGACACCTCCACAAGGAAGAAAGGCTGGACGGCCAAATTTTCATGTCATTGGACCTGATGTAAAGGGGATAGACTTAGATATGATTCAAGCCTTAAGAATAAGAGAAAGACTCAAAACTTCTGCATTTGTATTTGAGGGGTGGCAGGGAAGAAGTCAAGGACAGAGGGCTTCTTTGGAGCCTTGTTCTAGCTGTGATACTTTCCCTTCTTCGAATGAGTGGTTACAGGAGGCTTTCTAGCTCTATTTTTTTGTCTCTCTCTACTTTTTTTTCCCTCTGTTTTCCATGGTAACAGCCACTTCCTCAGTCTGTTTCTTTTGATAACATCCGCATTGAGGAAGCATGTCTTGCATTGCTTTGAAAGTAGAGCCCGGTGATGTGCAGAGATGTGGAGACCAGTACTGTTACTCATATAAAACCTGGGGGGAGGACTTGAAGTGGGTGGTGGAGGAACTTGGGGCATCATTCAAGGAATTCAGAAGAAATAGCTTTATGTTCCCTTCCCTTGGTGCATTTGCAATTTGTTCCAAGCTTTGGAAGCATGACTTCGCTTGCTGCAGAAGTTAGGCAAGCAAAACTGCCCAAGTTCTCAGTTTTTCACACCACGATTCAAGCTCATTGTTTCCCTCATCCTGATCACAGAACTCGGGAACAAATAAGTGAAAGAAGAAGCTGGTGCAACCCAGAATAAAATTTCTTCTAAATACTAGTAGGCAGAGTCAAGACATACAAAGAATAACATAATTGGATTCAGCATTTCTGTTTTTTTTTTTTTTTCTCCCTGAAGAACCTGTAATTTCCTTATAGGATTTATGTCAATAACTAGTAACGAAGGAGTTATGTGCTTTAAAAAGCAGTGCTGTTAAGACAGATTTAGAAGGAGTAGTGGGACTGTTCATTTCCATTAAATGATGCTCTTTACCACCAAAACGACAGAATTATGAATCAGGAAACCAAAAATCATGAGATCAGCTCAAACCAACAAACACTGTTCATTTTGTTAGTCCTCTCTTTTTTAATTCTTCAAGAATCAACCTCCACCTATAAATACAAGAGTTATTGCTTTTAAAAACTACAAAGATCTTCACAAAAAAAAATTAAGAAAACAAGCCTCTAAAAATAGGAGATCTATTATAAAATGAAGATAGCAATCCTGGTGCCACAGAGCACTTTCCATCTGACTGTCATGTAAAAGAGGGCTTATATGGAACTTGAGGCACGTGTAGTTCTTGTTTTGGTTATCCTCATGGATTGGCCACTAGCATCATAGGAAAGTCTGATGACATTTTTGGCAATGACCATATGAAAGCAGTTAGTATCAAACTGCTGCTGAGTTGTGCCATCCCGAACAGCAGTATTACGTTCTCTCTCCAAATTTACAGGAATAAGGAGAACACAGCAATGAATGCAGATTAACTGTAGCTAGTTTTTGCAAGTAATGGCATCAAAAATTGAAGGTAAAGCTTTCCATTTAGATCAGTGATCAGCAACTTCTCAAGTATTTTTTACTTCTCTTTTCAAAATTAGAGGCTAAGCTAGCCAGAAGCCAGGAAATGCTGCAGCTCACAATGGTCAGAAGGTGATGAATGAAAATTGATATGATATGAAGATGCAGTCTAGCTTCGATGTTAAGCTGTGGTCAGTCGAGTTGAATTTCAAGCCTCTTGCAAACCTCTCTCTTGAACCTCTCAGACTTGTACCAACAGTATCCCAAATCTCTCCCAGCTTGTTGGTCACATCTAAATGTATCTTCATCTATGCAAACCCAGTTTTCCACTTCAGATGTCTTACGGTTCAGGAACTTTTAGTTAAATAGCACCCCATGCTGCTATTCCAATGAGATAACAAGTAGGAATATATATACTATTCCTGCAGGCTTTGCTTCTGTGTCCTAGCACACCTGGAAAAGACAATTGCCATATGTGCTGCAGTGCTAAATCTTCTAATTCCTCTGGAAACTCATTTCTGCAAAGCTTTTCAAAAATGATTCACCACAGATTGAATGATTAGAAACTTCATTGCAATTGCTTTTTAATCACCCACTCTCTGTAAAACAAAACCTTCTTCCTTTTCTCACATCATGATCTCTTGTTTTTCCAGCCTGACTTGAAACTGCGAACCCTACTTGAAGTGTGTTCATCTCTCTGATGCCTGTACTCCCTCAAGTGAGCACAGGTCTAGGGTCTAAGTGAGCACAGGTCTAAGGCTGCAGGATCCTCCTGAACCAGGCTTTTTGTTTGCTGAAATAACCACCACAGACAACAGAAATAGTGAGGATACCACCCCAGAAGTGAGAGTGGGATAAATCAAGTGAAAAGTCCATCCTCAAACCACTTAAGAGTCCCAACACTTCTACCTTTCCAAATAAGACAAGCTGTAAAACATTATTTTCTCCAGGCTCAGTTGCATTCAGTTAACAGCCAGAAGTATCTGTTAGACCATCTGGCTTGATCTCCAGGATAGCCAAGGTCCTTGCCATTCCCTGACTGCTTCCTACCACTTACAGCAAGGCTTGAGTTTGGCTACAGTCTGATCTTGCATGAAGTATCTAAGCTGGATTCAGAAACACCCAGAAACAGCGAATGAAATTTCTTTGCACTTTGTGCCCAAAGATTATTGCTGCACTGACAGACAACAGTACTTTATGTCTGTCTGAGGATGTCTTCAGTTTCAATGGTTATTTATTTTGCTAACAGCTAACAAACAGAGACTGTTTACATTCTGCTTTTTTCTGTACATAAAAATAAATATGCTGCAAATAGGTAACTAGTATATTTTCTTTCCCAAAGGCTCAAAAGACTAGTATCTAAAAGGCTATATTTAAAGTATTTTCACAATGGTCTTTTCTTCTTCTTTTCCTTCTTATTCTTTATTTTGGACCTTCTTATTTCTTGCAAAGTGGCATCTCAGTGTCCTGCATTTCTTTTCCTTAGATGTCTAATTCTGCATGCTGCAGAGCCATGAAGCTCACAAAACATCCAGGTTGCAGGGCTATACCTGAAGACATTAATGTCATTTTTCAAAATCTTTTAGACATGGTCTGCCTGCAAGAGCAGAGGAATAAAAACCTTTGGGACCAACTCAAGAAGCTTCTGTGATGTGTAAGGCAGGCTTGTAGCAAACACTAATGCACTGAGTGAGATGGGAACCAACAAGTCAGTCCAGCAATACAAAGAAAGACTGAGACATAAATGGCTTTTCCTCCATAATCTACCAGGACTCTGATTTCCAGATAAAAATGGGGAGACAGAGTATCTTTCTTCCATCAACAATAATGCTTTGAATAAGTAAAATTTCTTTTTGTACACTATTCTGGGCAAATCCTTCTCTGCCTTAACCAGAAGCAGCCCTGCAAGTCACTCTCTAACAGACTGTGTCAGCTTTGGGACTTGAATAACAGGATATGAGTACTTTTAAGACGACATATAAAAGCCCTACTGAATTCAAAGCCAAACTTTCTTCCATTTAGATACAACCTTTTTCTTATCAATCACATTATCGATTAAACCAAGTTATTAGGTGAATGCACTGAAAGGGTAAACTGGCTCTCATTATTGTGCAGGGCACAATATCCACCAGAAACAGTCAGAAATGATGCAGAAAGGGAGGGTTTTATCTATCTCCCCTCTCTGCAAACTCATCTGCTGCTCTGTGAGCAAGGTGCAGGTAGGGCCTCAGGTTTATTGTTTCCAATGGAGCCAATTCTGCTAGGAAATACACAACCTCCTCTTCGTCAGGCTCTTCTGATCCTCTCTTTGGAGCTTTACTCTCAGACCTGTCACACTCATCAGCGCTTTACGGACATAACCTAAGTGCTTACAAAGGCACAAAGATGACCTAAGGCAGATATTAGTGAGAAGTCATGGAAATGCAGAGTTCTGCATATTCCCATGTTTAGTACAAATGTCTCCCTGTCTGTGGGCTTTCAGTAATTTAACAGACACTTTACCTCAATTGGTCAAATTATGCTAGGGAATGTGCATGCCACATCCTTGTGACTCGAAGAAAGCAGCAATGTCCTAGAAAACAAAGTCTAGCTGTTATTGTTAACTGTGCAGCTTTACATCAGAAGCAGCTCCTCAGACCATGGGCTACACCACTGTTGGCTCTGTCTTATAAAGGCACTTGCTAACATTTGATACAGTGCAAATAAATATATAAAAGTGGGCAGCCCCGAATTTGGGGATAGTTCTGAGAGTTTTGTCGCTGTCCCTGGTTCCAGTAGCTCTTCTGTATCTTCTACAACAGCTGCCACAGTTGTCAGCATTTAGCCTTCCATCAACAAATGTATTATTTTCCACTACACTGCTCATTGCATTGAGCATTTACTCACAGCTATTCTGGTGTAAAGTCATCTGGTCGCTTTTTTTTTTTTTTTAATCATATAAAGTGACTTACATGATTTTTTCAAAATACATCTTGATCATAAAAAGCCAAGAGAAAACTCCCATAAATCCCTTCAATGTCTATATTTATATCCCCAATGCCATTTTCCTAAATGGCTGTGGCCAGGTTATTTAACAGGCCAGTAGCTTCTTTTCACCATCTCAGTCACTGAGATGAGAGGGATCCCATGGCTATTTTATTGCTTTGCACAATTCTGATGTGAAAACATGCTTCATTCATTCAGGCTTTCTCCCATGTTTCTTCATGGCTGATACTGAAGATTTAACACTGAAATATTTGCAAGCAGCTGTGTTTTAAGATACAGAATAAAAAAAAAATAAGTAAACTAGAAGTCCAATTCACACTTAGCATAATTGGAAAAGATTTTTTTTTCACCTGCCTGAAAAATAAGCAAAATTTCATAAAGCGAAACATTCGGGGACTTAACTTTCCTGGAAAAATAAATAAGAGAGAGAAAATACTTTTTGTGCAACTAACATAACAAGTTGGTTATTTTGCTTTTTTTATTTTTTGCTCATATTCTGCCAAACCAATCTGATGCAAAACGTTTAGAGCTTCCTTGTTTCCTCAGTCCACAGATAAAGTGGCCCAAGCAGTCACTCGCAACAGGAACCTCATCTGTTGCAACCACTTTGAGCCTTCCTTATTTCTCAGAGAGGAAGTGTGTGGCCTGTTTGGCAAATGCTGTTGCACTTGACAGCGTGAACTTCACAACACGCGCACTCGACCGGCTGCTCCTCGACCTGATCAGCCAAACCTTGCTGGCAGCCCGCGAGCTGCATTATGACTACTGCTTCCTCGGAGAAATCCTGCAAGCTGGAATACCATGACTAGCATTTAAAGGTAATCATTACTCTGATACATTTCAGATTATCTGCATACTGGGTCAAATATGCCAGTCCTTGTTTATAGAAATGGGAGTATTGATAGCTACTGAATTCAGGCTTGGTATTTAAAGCAGGTAGGTAAAAAGGCAGAAATAGAAAAGCTTGCCTAGACCTCTCTTTTTTAAGGGTTGGTGCCAAACATAAAAGGGACAAGAAGTCAAGTATTTCTATTGAAAGCTCATGTTGAGAGAGATGCACAGCTCCTTGTGCTGAAGCTACCCTGCAGATTGCTGCAGCCAGGATATGAGCAATGCCACCAACGGCGTGGTGGGCTTTTTGCTCTAGGTGTTAAAAGTTTGCATAATACGGCATTTCTGTGCTGTTTCGTGGTACCTAGATTTTGCATGCCTCTGTGAACTAGCTGACTACAGGATTGCATTGTGTGCACAGATACCAGTGCCTGGAAGCTAAAAGGCTGGATGTTTTGATTAATGAGCAATTCAAGGTAAATTCACAGGGAAAAAAATATGTATAATTTGTGAAAACTGAGTTGCCTTTTTCCCCCAGAAGGGGATGCTTTTAAATTCCAAGCTAAAAAAGACAGCTGCATTACCTGTGAACCTTACTGAGAATTAAATTCTAAGACCTTGCAAATACAGGCGTTAATATCAGGCAAAATGAAATAATGTATGATGCATGAGAGATTTCTGAATTTCATTACCTAGTATTCCCTGCAGAATGTGTTTACTTGGGTTTTTATTTTGGCTTTTTAATTTTTACTTCTATTTTATTTCTATCTACTAATTCTCAATCTAATTTTGAATAAAAATTTGGAAAGGTCCTTCTATAACAATGGAATTTCCTATGTATGATGCCATTTAAGTGCTCCAGCAGTGCATTTTCTGAAAGAACAGATTCTGCCAGAGGAAACTCTTGCTACATGTTATGTATGTAGGAACGGAAGGTGCAAAGTTGCACCACAGGGTTTCAGGACCCACAATTTAGGTCAGCGAGATTCCAGTCTTGAACAGTGACAGTTGTGACACATTTATAGTTCCCGAAAGCTCTGCCACTGACGAACGCTATGAGGCAGGACAGGGACTGGAGACGTTTTCTCACCTTTCTTTCCGAAGCAAAAAAAAAAAAAAAAATCACTAAAAACAAAGATCACTAAAACCCCCATAGTTGTGCTTTTGCAAATAGCTGCGGCTGCAGCGATCTGCTTTCAAGAAGCATGTGCACAGATGGAAAGGGGAGGGGAAAAAATGCATAGGGTTTGGAGGGCAGAAGACACAGGCCTCGTGGTTAAATTCAGATTTTCACGCCAGTGAAAATTCACTGTGAATTCGCTTGGTTGCGGCTCTTCAACGCAGTGATTCTTCAGACATGAAATAGCAGAGGGCTTGGGATCCCCAAGACAAGGTAAGCCTAGAGTCTCTCATCTCAGTGCTTCACAAAAAATCCTCAGGAAACCGTTTTGTCTTGTTGTGGCACAATTATCTGCTGTACAACAGATGGAGTCAATCTCTACTCATCTCCTAAACTCCGACGATAGCCCTGTCGCCATCGAGAGTAAGAAGCAATGCCTGGAATAGACTCTCCATTTCCAAAAGAATGTCATCTACAAAACTGCTGTTGATTTGCTATACACTTAAGTGTTAAAAAAAAAAAATCTGCTCACACATAAGATGCTCTACAGTTTCTTCTAAGTCTATTTTGGCAGAATATCTCAAATTCAAGAAAGCCACCATATATTTTGTCATATAATGATACAATGAATTTGTATTCATTTTATTCATTGCTTGCTATACAAGCAAAAGCTACTTGAGCCATAAATTGTACTCTGTACTTAAAAGGCCTATGCATCATAGCTTAGTATCATTAGAAAAACAGTTCTAATTCTTATACCGTTACTCTAAAGCAGTTATATATCATCGATAAGGCGGAACTTTAAAGAGTTTTCTGTCTCCCCCGCAAAACAAAACTTATTTCTGCCATTTCCATCCCATTTTCCATGTCTGGGGGAAGCTCTATGCATCATAGCGTTCACCCCATTATTTTTGACTGGACTACATCCTCCTTTACTCTGCCCAAATGCATAATGACAAATATTTTTCATGAGGAAACTAAGTCTGATGTCTGTCATTTTCCTTTTGATCACTTTGGATAAGTGAATCAAACAGCAGCAGTCAAAATTTTCCATTCCCTTACTTTTTCATTGAAGACTGCTGCCCTGAGTCTAGATAACTTCTCGAGATCTTTGCCACCTTCGAGATTTTATGCCATCACGTGTAATACGACACATTGAACTTAGCATGGAAAATGTTATGAGACACAAAACTGTCACACTAGTGACATCAAAACCCCAAATGGCATTGCTCTGCACTATTGCTATAAGTCATTTATTACAATTTTGTTTTCCATAAATCAGATTTTTCCTGCTTTAAAATAACAGCTCTGAGCCATGCTGCTCTCTCCTTTTGACTTCAGAGGGCCTATTAGGAGGAAAACATCATATAAAGCAACAATTTCCATGGCAGAATTTTGCCTAATTAGTTTTGCATGTGCTCTTCAAAAACATTCATGCAAGTAGGTATGTGTCTATTTTCTAGTACTTAACCCTTCTGAACTATACAGCAAGTGGTTTAATGTCAAAGTATATATAGGGGAGCATTTACTTCACTTATTTCTAAAGCAACATTGTGAGTTTAGACACCTGAATACCATCTAGATAAATGAAAATACCTTACTCAAATGTGCCATCCCTTTAAAAGTCTGCAAGTGAAACATAGGGGTTTCTAATAAATCTTTCCCTCATGTATAACTCTATGTCTCACTTTCCCAAGTGACCTGGGGGTGTTTAAAATTTATACCCACTGTAACCTCAAGAGCAGGAGAAAAACCCTTAGCAATGTTAAGAGTTTTTAACACACTTTAACATCACTAGTAAAATGACTCGCTCTCCTGCTGTTGAAGAGCCAGTTCCACCATTAAGGAGCACACAGAGGTGCCACTGACAGCTTGAGTTTGGGCTTTTTTTTTTCCTCTTCTTCTTCTTCAAATTGGTGCCTGTTCTGTGGAGATCCCTATTGGCCTAAGATTTTTTGCTGGATAATTTGAATATTAGCGTGGAACATCTACAACAGCATCTGCAACAGCAATAGCCAAACCATTGGCTATAGCATTCCTATAGCTATACTTCTTGCTGGAATACAACTCGGAAAAATTATTGCAGAAGGGAATATTAGAAACGTACATGTATTTAAATAGAGAATGTTTAGATATATTCTACCAAAACAGACCCTTTCATTTGCAGGTGAATACCTAATTACTTATTTAAATTTTAAATTAACTTGTAATCTGCTTCTAGTCTTTTTATAATAGACAAAGACAGAATTTTTTGAAAGCTGAATTCTGTCACTTGTCCAAAGGATGCTGGTACAGCTGCACCCTACAGATGTGTCACAAGCTAGTTCCTGAGTACAGATAGTGAAAAAATAATGCACCAATAGAGACTTTCAGATAAAAGCTTTTATGACCAGAACTAGCGAGTATGAAAACTGGATGACTCCAACTGAAATTAGCACTATTGTTTTCAAGAAAATGCAAGAAAATTAGCGCCAAGAGATGCAATTTTCTCTGTTGAATGTTGGAGATCCTGCTGAGTTTATTGTAAGATGTAGAAAGTATATTGTGTTTCACAGTGAGCTCAGTTCCAACAAACTTACTCTAAAGGACAATTCCGTAAGAGTCTCACTGATTTCAGCAGAACGGCTCGAGTTAGCACACAAATTAGAGCAAGGCGGCCTGACAATGTTAAGTACAGAGCAGCATCCAAGAGGCAGTAAGCAGCCTTGAAATCTCAGCTAGAAAAGACCGAGAGATGTAGATTGTAGCTGAGGTCACAGAGTTCTGTAAACACTCATATGAGGCTGCTAGAGTTTCTATTATCATTTTCCCAAGGCAAATACCAGAAAACTATTTTAAAAAAACATCAGCTATTAGCTAATCGCGTCACAGTTTTGAACAAGTAGGGTTTATTCTCTTCTGCATCTGATAATGCACCACAGCCTGAGCCAGCTTTTACTTGAGAGGGGCTTTGCTTTCTGCTGCCTGACAGCAAAGTACAAGAAGGGACTTTCTATGCCAATAATCCATGCTTGCCTAGTGCAGCGTTTCTTGCACATCCTCCAAAGCTTTGAGAAAGATGAGATCCTGGAGAAATTAGACCACTGGCTTGATGCAAAAAACGTTCTTTTTAGGCAAGGTGTTGGGTTCTTTCTTACCGCCCACGTTCTCCAAGCTCCCAACTGCATCAGAGGAAAACCACCAAACAACGTTCTTGGTATTCAGCTATAAAACAACACAGTACCCACAGAGCTGAAAAACAGATTTGTCAACCCAACTAATTTCTTTGTAGCCTCAGGACTCCAAATGTTGAGAAGAACATTTTTTTTGTGTATAAAATGACTGTACAGGCAGGGCTTTGCTGTGACTTCCTATTGTGCTGGGGCACTGGTAATGGAAACTTTTACTACATTACGTTCTTCTGAGCAACTTCCCTAGCTGTGGTTTTCTGCTATTCCCCTGATAAAAGCACCAAAAAGTGGTGAGAGTTTAGCAAATATGTAAAACCCTGAATTTGTAAAACTGAATTTGAAGCCAGAGCTTTCAAAAGCAAAACTATATAAAATTGAAGACGTCAAAACTGGGTCATTTTTTACATGTTGGCACAGCAGGTGTTATTCTAAAGTTTAATTTCAATGTCTTCTTTGATTTAGTTCTGAAGAGCTTTGACGGAATTAGAGAGAGCTATGGGAAATACTATGAAAACGCCAAGAGCCTCAGCAGAAACAAGGGTGTCGAGCCAAACGGGTAAGCATGTATTTAATTTCTTCCAAGAGAAAAAGATGTTCAAAATATATGGTACATTAATGCATGAATCGTCCTTCATTCATCTGATGTAAAAAAAATGAGAGTGTGACTTTGCTTTGCTTGTGGGAGAAGGAGCGTATCCGTAGACAATGTTTATTTTCAAGCGTTTCCTTCATTCATCTGATGTAAAAAAAAATGAGAGTGTGACTTTGCTGTGGGAGAAGGAGCGTGTCCGTAGACAATGTTTATTTTCAAGCGTATTCTAGCTCTTTTTCCAAGCAGTAATTTAATTAAAAAACAAATGCTAAGACTTGGTAGTACCCCTTGAAAGGCATTTCCTTCTGATTCAGAAAACACTGCCCTATTTTGAAAGCAGAATTATTGTCGTTTGATGTATTTTCATTTAATATTTTATGCAGACTTGTTATTCTATTTTGATTTTGCTCAGTTTTAAGGTTAATGACTTAATGACATTTTGATTCCAACAATCCTGAGGTTCATTGTTGGACGCTTGCAATTAGACCAATATGCAGCCAACTTTCCGCGTTACTAGAGTTATCAGTAAATGTTATATAAGACAACATCCTTCACAACTCACACTAACAAAAGAGGATCTAACACATCTGTCGTCCTATGTACGCACACATGAGAAAATCAGCTTGCAAGACCTCCATAGTCTGGTAGAGATCATGCATCTGAGTGGGAAGGGGAAAAAAAACATCATTGACCTCCTACTCCAAACAGCAGATGCGTAGGTGGAGAGTAAGCACAGCCACAGCTCCTGTGTTGAAATATGATGGTCTACTCATGAAGGGCAGCACTAAATACTCCTCTAAGGTGCAAAATTGAATTTTTGAGGGGTTGGGCAGAAGGGGAGAGATATTAATCAAAATGTTGTATTTTTCCATAATAGCTAGTACAGTTGCTCTCTTTTTAAGAGGATAAGAGAACAGTTTAGTTCATTAGTGCTGGAAGGAAATCCAGCCCCACTTCTAGCATTGCCAAAGACGGTCCTACAGCCCTAGGTCCTAATAAAACATGGATTCAACATTGCTAATGGCTGGTTGAAGGCATAATGCAAACTGAGCATTTATTTGGTTGCAAGAAATGCGCCTATGCTGATTTTGCCAGAAACGCCATCTCAAATATTGCAGTCATCAAAACAGCAGGACGCTTCTGCTCAAAGTGGGACCTTACGAGAGCTGCCAGGGCTGCGCACTGAATGGTGCGGAGCTCACGCTGATACTAAAAGGCAGCATTTAGTAGGCTTAAAATCAACAGCATCCCTTTCAAGGACATAAATAGAACACATGCCTAAAAGATACCTCAGGAAAGGCTGATACCACAGAGATCTCAATGGTAGATTAGCTACATGGGATTTTCAGGTTCAATCCACACATCTAGCACTTTCAGTGAGATGCTCTGTTGCATCCTGCTTGACATCCACTTGCCATTCCAGAAGGGAACAAGGCTTCCCATAAACCAGCAGCTCTGGCCTAGGCATTCTTGACAACTAAAAACTGTCCTGGATACGTATGTCCAAGCACCTGAAGGCAGATTTACATGCTTACATAGCTCTTTTGTGTTTACTGCTTAGTCCACCAGCATCTCCCATAATGGTTTAACCACTGCTTAATTAAATTCAGGAATCCAAGCATCAATTTTGTCATCCAAATCCGAGGAAAACAGGTATCTGAAAAGGAACACAGTACTGAAAGCATGTATTGGGGTTAATCGAATGAGTTTGATTCCATTTTGAGCAGATCAAACTCCAAATCACATTGCCAAACACTGAAAGATTTCCCCAAACCCAGGAAAAGGCATGTTAACTGTAAGTCAGATGGAAGAACCAATCCATCGACTATAGCATTCCAGATAAGTACGGGGAAAAATAGGCTAAAGATAGAAAGGCAAAAAATGAAGACACATAAGGAAAGGAGAATAGTACACATAAGGAAGGAGATAAGTACATTTTGCATGCAAGATCTGCAGTACAAATGTATTTAACTGTTGGATCCTGATAAGGGTTTGTGCTACACCAAATACCCAGCCTTGTGCTTTTCCTTAGCTCTAGCGCACCAGGCTTGGGCCTTGACCAAGCCTTGACCAGGCCCTTGAACAGGGCCTTGAACAGGGCACGAGCTTCGTTTCCGTGGGACATATTAGGACTCCCAATATGAGTGCACTGCACGGGCATCCCTGGCCTCACTGGGGTTATAGCAGAGTAGCTGCCGAAGCAAAAGTTTATCGGGAGTCACAAACCCTCCCACTGCTCTCTCCTCCCTTGGGACCCTGAATCAGTTCAATCCTTACCGAGCTGCGCACGGCTGCACCTGCGCCGTGCTCAGTGCCCAAAGCAACAGCGTGAGGTCTAATTTGGGCACATGGAGGTTACGCTGCAGCCACACCTTGCGGCTGCGGCACAGGCACCCTCCCAGCTGTGTGCCCTCCTTTTCCTCCCTGGGACATGTCATGCAAGAAACCAAAAGTGCTTTTGCTAGAAAATAGAGCTGGGGCGGTGCAGGGAGCAGAGCTCTGGGCCGGCGGCTCGTTCCCATCCCAGACTGGGTCCATGGCAGGGCACAGGCTGTTCCTGGAGAGCAAAGTGCAGCCCCGGCTGGACTGGGGTGCTCTGCACCATCTCCAGCAGTGCTTCAGCTCCTAATGAGTCATTTGAAGAATACTATGTTCAGTCTTGCACCTTGCAAGGTATCAGGATGTGGGTACCTGAAACTAGCCTGAATTTCAAGCTCAGCTTTTACTCCTAAAAAAAAAAAAAAAAAAGCTCTGATTCAGTGGAAATAACCTACTTAGCTTTTTCCATATAACTTTTGAGCTGTTCCATTTTAGACGTAACCTACACATTCAAGTTGCAGAGGAAAGGCTGTGCTAAGAGTATTTCAGACTTTTTTAAAAAAAAAAAAAAAAGACAAAAAATCCTACTTAAACATGTAGGGACTGCTCATTAGATCATATCTATCAGCTCACTGAGTGATGTGGAGAAAGAGGGTAACTGGTTTAGTCCCCGTTTTGAAACTTCAGTATCTGAAAGGAAACAGTCTGAGTTTTGCAAGATGTTGTAGAGTGTAGAGGGGTTTTTTTTACATGACCAAAAAAAGACCTGGTGAGGTTTCATTTAAATGCCAGTTAAAATGAGGTCTTGTTATTTGTGAAGTGGGAGGGTTGAAAGGCCGGGGTGGTACAAAAGCCTTTTACTTTCTCTCTAAGTACAGACACTTTCAGAGGTAACCTTTGCCTGGATGTGGCAGCCAACATTACAATTAACTATCTCCTTTGAAGAACTATAAATTAAGAAAAAAAGAAAGAAAGAAAATAAAAGATGAACGTTAAAGTAAACTATGGATCCTCCTAAAGGGATATCCCATCCCATGCATAACAAAATGCAAACCACCATGTAAAATGTAAGGCAAGGAAGGAGGGCAGAAAAGCATTTGTTTTCCACTCTCTCTGTATGGAAACTTTTTTTTAAATATATATAACAGTGTAAGTTTAGAAAAAAAATAATTAAGCTAAATCTATATAAAAAATCGTATTACAGGCTGCTCTCTAACAGTTTGCAATGATATTTTAGGGAATGGCATTTTATCTTTACTCTGCAGGTCTTTCCTGCAGTGTACTTGCTGATATTAATCTCTTGTAGTCCCAGGAAAAGATTTGACTTTGTAGAAAATAATTCAGCACCAATACTTAGGTCTAGAGGTAGCCTTTGGTACTACACAGAGAGAGATGTTTCTGGATTTTTAGTGCATAACAGGAAAGCAATCAAAAGATATATTCAACATGATTTCTTCAATCTGGTTGAACTAATTATATCATAGGTTACAGTAGACTAATCACGTCAGTTGACTGATTAATATGTAGGTACTGAGTAAGTCCTGCTTAACTGAGTGATGCTAAATAAGTGAGAAAAAGCTGATAAGGCTGATACTAAACCCATATCAACAAACTAACCCACGTCAGCTCCAGACTCTCCACATCTGTGCGTCCATAAGGATGGCTGCTGCCTGTACTGCAGGGCCAGCTCTGTGAGCAAGGTTAGCAAACTAAATGCATGCACAGTCATTTTGAATATAATCATGTAAAGTCACCCACTGCATTGCTTACTTCCACCCTCTATAGCCCAACAACAAACCACTACCCCAAATTAACACAGGAAATTAGCTTTTTCCTTATTGTTTAGATGATCTCTAGAGGTCACTTCCAACCTTAAGGATTCTCTGACTCTATGACTATTATCATCATGACTGCTGTAAGGATAACTACACGTGCTCTCCTCCTCTTGCCAATATTTCTTTCCTGCATGCTTGCATGTTTTGTATCACAAAAACATCATTATCAATCACTCAGTGTGTATTATTTGCCAGGCCATGAGACACTGAGGCTGAACACACACCCCATCTCAGCCTTCATTCTGGATGGCATTTCTAGGTTCCACTAAAGACTATCTGAAGAGGAACAAACACCCTAATAAGATAAGGATATGTATCTATCTGCGTGGGTAATCCCAAGGTCATTTCTATTTTTGCACATGTTTAGCTGCACTGAGTGGACAGATATGGAGAGGTGACAACCACCGCAAAGGCTCTGGTGTATGGTGTGACTAGCAAGGGGCTCATGCTGTTCCTGCTTGTGGTATGGGGGAAACACTGTCCCCCACCTTGTGCTTGTAGATGACAGTATCACATGTAGAGGATTGGGTTCCACTTCCAGCAAGAAATTTAGACATTTTACAATCTTTCTTGCTAGAATCTTTCTTGCCAAAGAGCTCATAACACCCAGTGTTGGATGTTGTGAACCTCCTGCGTGTCAGCATTTCCTGCAGACTCACAGCAAATGAGAAACTCTTGAATGCTTTGTAGTTCCCATATTGTCCAGAGTGGTGGTCAGTATGGGACCTATGAAGTGTTCAAGCACCTCCACCCCTCAGGAAGCCACCTAAGTAGTAATGTGTCATATGCAGGGTTGCAAGCCCCCAAAAGGACTCTACCCTCAGGTCCTCGCTGAGGGCTGCAGATAGCTCCACACCACGCGGACCTCAGGCTCCCTGCAAGCTACATTCTTCTATATGAGGACATACCCAAAACCTCGAGAGGTCTGCAATTAAAGAGATAACGAGCACAGATATTCAGCAGCACGTACTCTGTGCATTAATCTGCCCACATGCCCATGAACAGGATTCAGGGCCTCATCTCAAAGCAAACAGAGCAAATTTTGGACAGGTACTAACACTTTAAAGGAGTTCATTGGCTTATTGGCTATTCTTCAGTCATACACATTTTCTGCAGGAATTATGGTCTTTGAATAAAGATATTTAATTATGAATCCCACCCATAAGTATGGCTTCCCTAGGCCCCACCAGTGATATTTAACTTGATCAGCAAAAATATTTGTCAGAATTCTAACTAAAAATTTAATTTCCATTTGATTCTCAACCAATCTGTAATGCCTCTCTCGAAATTGCAGTCGAGTAAAAATTCATTTTACTTTTCTTCTGGAAGTGAAGATGAGATGCATCATATGGCATTTCTGAAGCTGTTTCCATATAAGTGCAGAGAGCAAAATTCACTGGCTCACTGTTCATTAAGCTTATTTGCAAAACTGATTGAAAATGGGCAATAACCAGCATCTCTGTCTCATTGTCCTTAATCTAAACAACTTTAATATCCTTGAATCCTTCCATTGTTTAACATCACTGATATTTTTCAACACACACCTTCCTTTTCTTAATGCGATGCATCAACACTGTTCAAAATTGTTTCTGAAGACATTTGAACAACAGTATCAGACTGCGTTACTTCCTAATAATATGGATACTTACTAATTTTGCTAGTTTCAGATTGATTTTTTTTTACATATGACAATTACTAGAAAAGAAATGCAACATTATTTATTTCCAATTAATCAAAAGCTTTTTTTTTTTTTTTACTTTCTTATCTTTACTGTATTCTTACAAATCTATAGGTATTTGAGGTTTACAGACTGACATTCTAGAGTGGTGTTTTTCACATATGACCTACTATATAAAATATAACTAACAAAACCAAAAATATCTACTTTAGAACCGTATCACTTTTAATTTCTTTTTCTGTCTTTAACAGGTCAGGAGAGTGATTTCCTTGCTGTCCTCTATGATTATCCTTCAGCAGACATAAGCCAACCTATATTTCATGTAGGGGAAAAACTACGTGTGCTATCAGAGTAAGTTGATCCAATTTTTAAATTAAATTAACTGATATGAGACTATGTTTCATGCATCTGGCACCAGCTAAATGCTGTGAATTTCATTTCTCTTGAGCAAAGTGCTTCTTTTCAGTCTTCAAACTCTCCATGAGAGTTGAAGGCATGAATGCTTGAGCAATGAGATGGTCCAGGTATAAAAGTCAATGACAGGTTCCTAAAGCCTTCCTATACCCTGTGGAGAGTGTCCAAATAGTTTTTGAATATCTCAAATTATGAAGTCTGTAGCAGCATGTATAAGAAAACTTGCGTTTTATAGAGATTTTTAAGTATTTAAGCAAAATGAACCGAGTTTGGAGTCATCAGGGAAAGATGTTTAGCCAAGATGTAAAAATCCCAAGATCTTAAGGGTCTGAGATTGCAGATTCTTCTTGGATTTTCGTTTCCCCTGACGTGGTTTTAGAAGGTAGATTCAAATTCTACTGAATATTAAGATTCAAAACAGAATTCCAAAAAGTGTTTTAAAATGGATTTTAAGAAAGTATCCCCCAATTGTAGTGGAAAAGAGAGAGAACAAAAACAGTCCAAGTCAAATAGAAAATGATTCTGGGTTCCCCTGCAGTTGGTGTGTGTGTGCACATGCGTGTGCACATGCATATCTCTTTCTCTCTCATCCTTTCTCCTGAACAACTCTTGTTATCAGCTTTTTAAAACATCTTCCTAATTAAAAAGAGATTTTTATGAGACCCAGAGGGACGTAGTCTTAGGAGTATGAGTTCAGCCTGACCATAAGCGTGATGCAAATATGCCCACGTTCAAGAACAAGCACGCTCTTTAAAAATTGAAGACAGCAGCCCAGGTATTTTTCTGTGCACCGCTTGTAGCAGTGCACAGTCAAACCCATGGGCACTGTTTGCAGAGCTTAAACAGAAAGTTTCACTTTTGCAGTTTTGGTAGACCAGATGGACTCAGGAGGAAGGGGAGGCCAGTCACATAGTAGAGAAACACATTTAGGGTTTTTAAATTTACAGGAAACTTATCTAACCAGGCAAGTCTCAGAGCTTCAAATGACTGGAGGACAGGAGAACTCAAGAGAAGCATCATAGATGCTTGATGAATTCTCAGGCTCTTCTCAAGGCCTCTATGACCCAGTAGAACCATTGCCACAACAAGGTGCTGGGTTATATGGACCAGATCTGATCTGGAACAACTGCACATTCTGCCTCCCTAAACCTACAGATCACAAGACTTGCATGGCCACTAACTGAACTTTTTGCTGATGGAGAGCTTCCCTAAATCAGAGGAATTCTTCACCAGTAATATCCAGATATTTAAACCACGTCACAGTTTGCATAACGCATAAGACATTGCACAATAATTGCCTTAGCATGGAAACTCCAGCTCGAAGACTCTCTCCTAATCTTCACCAGTAAAGAGACTTCAAAAAATACAGAAGTACATATACCTGGAAGATATCAGTGCAAATTAAATGCATTGTATGCCATATGCATACTATAGAGTATGATCTACTGGACATATAATTTATTCTGAAAAAACTAGATTCTTGCAGCAGCAGTTTTTACCATGTTTGTCTGTTGTGCAACATCAAGCATTTCTCCCAATAGTAAAGGAGAGCCAAAGAAAACCTTAATGGAACTTTCCTGCTGTGGATCAGCAAAGACACTCCAATTCCTTAGGCTTGTCCTAAATGAACAGCCTGTTCTCCCCTGCTGGGGTATGCATTAAAGATAACAGGAGTTTCTTTTTGCATAAAAGACTCCCCCACCCCACACAAACTGTAGGTATAAAGTTCTTGAGTCACTGAAGGAAGCAAAGTGTAGTGGATCAAAAGAACAGCCTAGCAGGTATGATTAGAGCACAAGTGGCTGGAAAGTACCATGGAGAGTCCGGGATTAGTCTTCTACCTCAGCCATATGTTTGTAGTGAATTGCAGTTTTCAGGGAATTCGTCTCTCATGCACTCTCTTACAAGCTTAAGGAATTGGTGACAACCACATCCACAAATAATGCCAGCAACATACTACGTGGAGTGTATATTGAAAATGCAACTATTCCCAAATAGTTTTGACTGCTGCATGTTGGCAGAATTAGGTAAGCGCTCTTGTTCCAGTTCCTCAACCTCCACCTCTGTTCACCATATTCACAATATGTTCACAGTATGTTCACCACATGAGGAACAACTGGATCTAACTGGAACTACTTGGGGGTACCCTAAATGACCCCCCTTAGCCTACATGTTTCTGTGGCTCCTAGCCCTGAATGGATGTGCTGGTTTTGTCTTTTCTAGTCAGCATGGGATTTTTTCAGGGTTAGAAATAATACATTTTGAAGGGAGGGAGGAAGCTTTTTATTCTTTTTTCCATAGAGTCTTTGGTTCTGAGGTAGTAATGGGGAGGAAAAAAAAAAAAAAGCAACTTCCTATAGATCACTTCACGTTAGCTGGAAGCCCACAGATAAAATCTGTGGCACCCTGACATTTCCAGCTCCAAAGTGCTGAGATTGTTTTTCCCTCAGCACATGCATTCTGGACCATGAGTCCAGCTGCTGTAACTCTGGTAGTATAATTTAAATGTTTTAAATGGAATTTAGCTGTTTTGACATACTCTGAGAACCTGGTCTGCAGTCTGGGGATTATCTGGGAGCGTTTATATGAATGTTCTTTCTGTGAAGCTTCAAACACAAGACACTGTTATTTGGATTCAAACCCTTAAAGGAAGATGTGCAGAAAACCCATCAATCATTGTAGTTCTGCACTGCCATAACCCTTACCATTAATCACTTAATGTTTTGTGGCTTCCCTGTGAAAATTCTTAATCCCATGGTCTTCCAAGACACTCAGAAGCTAAATCCAATACTCAATATTCCAGTTAAAACCCAAGACCTATCAAGGAAGAAGCCTACAGGTCTAGCCACCTCCTTTCAGCTACGGGGCCTTCTCTTTTACATTGCAGTCCGCTCAGCAGCTCATGGAAGATGATGGAAAGAGCACCCGATGAATCGGTTCCATCAGACTGAAAATACATTCCCAGGCAGACAGCGTTCATTTTCTGAGTGTCTCTGCCCTGACGTTACAGGCGTCACGGCAGTGCCGTCTAGACGCCGCACGCTGAGCCAGCTTGGACGCCAGCTGTAGTCGAGCTGTGGGAGGACCAAGCACAGCATGGTTTAACCACTGCAGTATTTACCCTTCCTCTTTTAACTGCAGGCAGATATTTGACTACTTGTGCCATTTAAATGGAACAAACATAGCTTATTTCTATGTCCAAATTTAATCCCAGTGTAAGTTTAGGGAAGAAACTTTGCTAAACAAAACAAACTTGGGGTCATCTCCAAGCAGTCAGATTCAAGAACACACACAGAAGGTTACAGGCTAACCTGTATGTCTTAACTCGTTCCTAAGAGCAGGGAAAGCTCTGAAACCACATATTTCAATATCAATTTTCTTGCTTTCTCACAGTGAAGGAGGCTGGTGGAGAGTCCATTCCCTCACAACTGGGCGAGAAAATTATATTCCAGGAAAATATGTAGCAAAGGTTTACCACGGGTAAGTGCATGCTTCCTACAGCCTTTTAGCACAATGTACATATACAGCCCTAGTTAGAGTTATTCAGTCTCATAATCAAGAACTGATAATAGTAACCAGAAGTTGGTAACAGCCTATAATTATCCACATCTCAGTCCCTTTGAAATATGACAATACCAAATCCACATCTAAAGCTGAAAAGATATTCTCTTGCTCACACACACTCACACACACACCACTTTGAAAGGGAAAATGCTAGTTTTAAATACCTAGCCAAAAAAAGGCTCTAGTGTTGTGTAAAATATTTAAAATACTTTTGCGCCTTGGGCTGATCTCTAGTTTCAAAACACCAATAAAGAGAATCTATTTACAAGGAGTTTTTTAGGAGTATTTTTTATAAAAATAAAAATTAGAGCCATTTTTTTAATTGAGAAAAGACCAAATAGAATAAAATGTAAATTCTCACACTAGAAAAGCTGAGGAAGGTTGAAAGGGTTATTTTTGGCTTGGACACCAGTCAGGAAAAAACATTAAAGTACATATTTAAAACTCTTCTGGAAAAGGTTTTAATACCTGTTTAATTTAAAGCATATTTTAATATGCTGTTACATCCACCTGCAACAGAGATGCTTCCCCAAATATGGGGCACAGAAAAAAAGTTACTGTAAATTTTTCCTAAGACTCATCCTTAACTACTTTGTGGATAATAAACTGGATCAAAACCACAAGAACAACTTGATTTTAAAGTGCCAGTGACTCCAACATCAGCACAGCAAACTCAGTTACATCATTACTCAGTAGCTGGGCCAAAATACAGCAATGTACCAAGTAATGAAGAAAATCAATGAGAGCAATTCTACCTTATCTCATAACTATCTTAAAAGTCTACACTTTGGCCTAGAAAAGCAGAATAACTGTATTTCAAGTCTGGGTTAATAAAAGTGCTTAACATGCCAAAAAGCCAAGATACTTAATTTCAAAGACTATATTTCACAATAGCAGACTTTCAGTATGCCTGGACCATAACAACACCCGAAATGTGCAGAGATGCTTTAACTGACTCCTAGATGCTCTCATACTGAGTTGATGCCCTCAAATTATCAGCTTCTGGGACTCTAACTAGTATCTTGAGGCTGTATCACATCAATCCAGAAAAAGCAGATCTCTAGGGGCTAGCTAGGTCTAGGTCTTTAATGCCCTAGACATGCCATCCCTATGTCACACAGAGGTGTCCCTTACATCTCAAATCAAGACAGCTTGAAAAGTCTCATCTCCCCTAATAAGTCTAAATCTTATTCACTCTCTTCCTCCTCTTAACTTCAAAAAAGTTAATGAAAATCCAAACATGAAAAGAAGAGCATGTTTTTCTCCACAAACTGAGGAAACATGCTTGGAAATAGTTGAGAGAATAACTACAGAAACCCACAGTGTTATTTTTGCAGTCACTTTCCTGGCTAGTGCTGCACTTTCGGGACCACATGCAGTTTTCTGTTTCTGTGGTGTCCAAATTTCAGATTTTGTTTTTTCCTGCTTCACAGCTGGTTGTTTGAAGGGCTGGGGAGAGAAAAAGCAGAGGAACTTCTACAGCTTCCCAACACCAAGGTCGGCTCCTTCATGATCAGAGAGAGTGAAACTAGGAAAGGTGAGAAAAATATGATTTTCTGCCTTCTCAATCTCAGGCATTAACACTTTCGCAACTCATAATTCTCCCCCATCCCACTTGATGTGCATCAGTTCAGAAACATGCAACATATGTAGTGAGATGTCAAAATCGCCCGGTGCAGTGTGCTGGTCTTCGTCTGTCACCCACACCACAAGTGGTGCTGGAAACAAGGTTAGTGATGGCCATGGAAAGTTCCACAGCACAAACAAGACCCACTTGTTTAAACATTGTTATTTACTCTGGTCACATGCAAAAGCTTATTCAGCAGCGGAGGCTTTTCAAATGGTAGAAGAGTCGCAGTTTTGCCTCCATCAACAAACGATTGGCTGAAGAGGTATAAAACACACAAAGAAACACTGGGGGTGGCTGATGAGTGCATTTCCCATGCAAGCAGTTGGTTCTTATATTTATTTTTCAAAAATATGTTGCATTTAGAGTTTCCTTTTTGACTATTTTTCCCACCATTTTTCTACTGGATTGGTCTAACAAATCAGTTTGCCCCCTGCCTAGAAACACAAATACTGACATTTATTCTGCCAATATATCAAAACATTTCAGCCCAAGCCAAAACTATTCTGATTTAATTATGTTGCTACGTGGGAGTTGTACTGTTCACATTTCACACTTTCATTCTCGTCAGCAGGCCAGCCTGCCTGGTCAGGGTGCATCTCCCATTGCACATTACAATACCTTTCCTTTTACTTTCGAAGCACCATAATACATCCTAATGTCACAGTATTGCAATTAGAAGGGAACCTTCAATCATCTCGGCCAACCTCTTGCACAACACGAGCCAAAAAGTAACAAACACCTCTATAACTTCAAAAAAATATAGACTCAATTCTCAAACTTTACCAATGATGCATAATTGTTTTAGAAAAGCGAGGAAACAGGAAATCCAAGCTGCCAGCTCCTACCAGAATTGCAGTATCAGGTATCTACTACTGCATTGTCAGGAATTGATTAAGTGAGACTCCTGCAGATGAGTCTGAACCCCCACTTCAGAGGAAAGCAAACAACTTCTGTTAAGGCCTAAGTCCCTTACAAACTTTCAAAAAAAGTTCCACCTTAGAAAGAATAAAGGAATAGGTATCAAAAAATTAAAATACATAAATAAATGTATAAAATCAGTCTCCTAGGCCCTGACCCTGGACTCTTGGATACTTGAGGTGTATAAATTAGGATGGCCACTCAGTTTGTTCAGATATTTCCAGAGTCTTTTGGAACGTGGGACCACACCTTAAAGATACACTGGGTTTGGCCACTCTTATCTAGAATTAGATAGATATTTGATGCAACTTAGCTGTCCTGTTTCTGCAGGGTTGTATTCGCTGTCAGTACGGCACAGCCAAGTGAAACATTACAGGATCTTCCGCCTTCCAAATAACTGGTATTACATCTCTCCACGACAAACCTTTCAGTGCCTTGAAGACCTCGTGAATCACTACTCAGGTAAAAGCAGTTGCAACTGCAGAAAACAGATATTTCCCAAAAGCAACTGTAAAACTGTATTTCAAAGGTCCAGAACACAAATTATCGACTATACCGGAGACTTTCAACTACTACCACAGAACAAGTAATGAAAATAACTTACATTTTATTTCTTTGACTTAATTTTTGATCCTAATCACAAATATTGTACCCCAATGCTACAACTGAAATCAACTGGAAAACTCAGCTAAAGACAGATAGGCTATGCTGATGTTGCATATCATATTGCATGTCCCAATGGCCTCATTATTAGACCTGTTCCCTAGTACTATTTTGACCTAAACCAAGTGGCACTGTCCTAGACAATGTTCAGGTAGATTTCGGACGCGGCCACAGGCGAGATGCACCCAGTCCCGCTCTCAGAGCTATGACACATAAATTCAAGTTGTGCTTCTAGACTTCAGGACCAAAGTTCAGTTCTTGGCTTACTTTGTTTACCAGTATAGATATATTTGCCATTTGTTTACCCTCCAGGCAGATAGATAGCAGCATGACATGGAAAACCAGACTCTGCAACAATGAGTAGTCCCCTGAGGGGACCATTATGTCACATAACCATATCTGCAGCAGATAATTCTTAGACATTTTGTTAGTTTATTCCTTATTACTTTTCAGTCAATGAGGCTGGATTTTATCAGCAGAATTTAGCTCACAGCTGACAGCTCGAAATTAGATTTAAATGTAATTTATACTGATATGCTGTCCAGTGGGCGACACCTGTTTTAGTGACAATATTTCATTTTAATGGAAATATAATCTCTGTAAAATGCCTTGGCAAACACCACAAATAAGTGACTGCCATGAAAGTGAGTCAAGTTTATCATGAAATAGGAGGGAGGACTGCAATAAGCTTATTGCGAAAGAGTTACAAGATAATAATGTGTCCTGCACTTTAAATAGTAATGCGTACTCTGTAGCTGAAAAAGTGTAAAGTCAACATATTTGCACATTAAACTAGTAAATGAATTAGCCTGTGAGGCAAGGAGCATATTAATATTAACAACATTTTCATTCGAATGTTGTCAATGGAAGAGCAGATGTAATAAGATTCAGTTCTCCTCCTGCCCCCACCATGGGACGATGCAGAATTTCACATTATATTAAGTCTAAAACATGTATAAAAAAACAGGTATAAAACACCAGCTTTCCACAATGACATCCTCTATTTGTCTAGTAGAATATATGCACTGTAAAAGTGGCGGAAAAATAGATGCACATACAGTCCATTCTTGAATGGTTGCATCCTGCATCTATTTTGTACTCCGTCTGCATGGCTGAGAAAATGGAAAGAAAAAGCAGAAGTCACTAAGGACTCAGGAAACTTGGGTTTAAGTCCATCACAAACTTCCTCCTAGACTTGAGGCAAGTCTTTCAATCTCTCTGTGTCTCAGTTCCTCACTTGTACTGTGGAAAATACAACTTATTTAATTAAAGGGTAAAGGAGTGTGGAAAGGAAAAAGTTGATCCTACGTCCTAATGTCCCAGTTGAGGACACTCTTTTTATTGACTATGTCTGTGTTTGTTAGCACATAATGCGAGAAGAAAAACGATGGATAATGATGGGTAAGGATTGACTTTCTGTGTGGTTATTTCCCTGTTCAGAAGTTGCTGATGGTCTCTGCTGTGTCCTTACAACACCTTGTCTCACCCAGTGCACTAACAACCATGGTATTATGAGCCAAGTTCCTCCGGTGGTGATGCGGAACAAAAACTTCAACTGGAGAAGCATACACAGGTACCACCATCAAAAACAACTTTTTTTCTTTTGCTTTTCTACATCAGCCTCTTATATTCTTGCACTTACAGGAGAAACAGCCATCTGCTTCTCCAAGCAGTTTTAATTGCTTTAAGACCAGTTTTAAAGCTAAGTCTAAACTTCAAAGCTGCTGATACCATTTTAAGCACAAAAATTAGGGTGTCCAGCTTGCTAGTGAACTGAAAATCTCAGTGGTCCAACTTTGAAAGAAGTAAGAATGCTAAGCCAGGATTTTTATATACATACATATATATATATACACATACAGATATATACATATATATATATAACAAAATTAATCTTGTTCTATTTAATAACTGCTAACAACAGGCTCAGGTTAAGCAATTGAAACATTAAGCAAGCTTTGTTTTTTTAAAGGCTGGAGATGACTGAAGATACTGAAAGCACATTGTCAGCAATAGATGATTCCTGTCTCAGCTACGGCCTAAGGGAGAGTATCGCTTCCTATCTTTCCTTAGCTGGGGATGACAACTCTTCTTTTGCAAGTGCCAGAAAGAAGAAAACCCAATCTCTTATATACACAGGAAGCAAACGTAAGAGTACCCTTCACTTGTCACCTACATACTATGAAGACTGAACCCAAAATGATCTGGAAAAAAAAAAAGTACTGAAGGGTTAGAAAACAACCCAGAGCATCCTTTGGTCCTGCAGTCCTTTGACAGCTGAGAGACACAAGCACCAGCTGAAGACCAAATGCTGGCTATGCTTCTGCATTTCCTCTTCTGAATGTTGACTAGAGACTTTTTATAGGATCTGCTGCAGCATAGGCTGGGAACATGCCCAGTGCACCTGAAATTCCTGCTCACAAGATGAACAGAGAGAGACTCTTAGAAAAGAGCAAATAAGAAGGAGACTTTTTGGTAAGGATGATGTCCACCACTTTACACAGAAAACTTTGTTGGGAAGGACTAGCTAGAACTTAAGATCTTAAATTAAGTCTTGTTCTGATAGTGCTGAAATGCACTTGCCACACTAAGTGAAATGTCATCATGTGAGAATGGATTCATGAAATATGGATTCATTTTCTGATGCAAAATCAGAAGTCCTTGATAATATCCTCCATATCTAATATCTGGCATCTAAGCAAGATCTCATGATATGAAGTTGATATTGCCATTTCTATCTTCTTGGGGAAAAAAATAAAAATAAAATCACTGTTTTTTGAAGTGACTTGTAATTGTGCTGCCAGTAGTGGCCATCTGTGTGTAAGAGGCTGAGAACCTAGCACTGGGCTGAACTCACTGAGAAGAGCTGTTCTTGCTTAGCGATGAGGTGAAAGTACAGGCATATGCAGATGCATAACTCAGCTGCTCACGAGCTCAGCTGCTCGTAGTCTGACCATTATTCAGAAAACAGAGGGTATTTTTTAGGAAAATGTAAAAAATGGTAATATCATGCCTTACTGCCAAGGTAGGCTTGCAAAGGTGCAATCTTTTTTTGTGTAGGAGACTAGACTTTAGTCTCACCACCTGAAGATACACAATATTTATGTATAATATTTATATTAAAATCTGCTTTTTAAATAACTAAACTATAGAGCAAATTAGCAATAGTGGATATTATAGAGTTTTTTGTATGTCTTGTCTGAAAAGAGTTATGTTGAATAGAAACAAGACAGTTCATTAAATTGCTTTAATGGTTTGTAGATTGATTGCCTTAAATTTTACAGATCAGAGCATTTTTTAACATGCCTGCATCATTTACCAATCTATAAAGAAGCAGATAGCATGGTCATTTGAACCCAGTTTGTGTTTGCCTTCAAAGTCAAACAATCACTCATAGCCAGGAATGTAAAATGTTGCAGCCTGTGTACCTGAATTAAGATATTTCTGATCAAATATTTTGTTGCACAGATTAGAGTAACAAAGTGTACAGAAATAGGGAATTGAGTTTATATATATATGTGTGTGTATACACCCATATATATATATATACACACATATATATTTCCTGTGAATACATCTTAGCACAAATCTGTGTGCTCTTTAGATATTATAACAGGTCATTTACACGAGCAATGGAAATTCGGAGGTGAAACCAGTTCACAGTCTACTTTAAAGTGTGAATGAAATTTGGCTCACAAACATTGAACGCAACAAAACAAAATGAATTCAGGAACTCTAGGTGTTTGTATAATCTACTTATTGCTACTGATTGTTAATATGTTATTATAGTGACTTCATTTTAACCAGTAAAATATATATGCAGAGCATTACATATTTCTAAATCATGACCTGTATTTATTCATTAAAATGATATCCAATAGTTACTTAGCTTTATCTGAGTTTTGTTTTGTCTTTAGAAAGCCAAACACCTAGCATTTAGGAACCCCATTATAAATAGCCAGTCTTGCAATGATACTACTAGAATATATCCTCCTTCTCTTGCCTATCGTTTGAAGTATCCTTAAGAAAGGTGGCAGGAGGAATGGACCTTAGGAGATATTGGGGACATTTAAGTCACCTATGCACCATGGAATAAACAAAAACAGGAATGAAAGGGATCCTGTGGAGCTTTCTTCTCTAACCCCATGCTCTTTGGAAGATTAATGTTACCTAAAGCACTCGTGATGTACCTTGAGCTTCTTCTAAAATCTGCCAGTGGCCAGGGTGGCAGGCAGATGACTAGGTTGCTGACTAGGTCCTGGCCCAAGATTAAGATGATATGATATGAGAAAGAACTGCACGTGACATGAGAAACTGCTGGATGTAACATAATGTACGAAGGTGAAAAATATCCAAATTGGGTAAGGATGTAGCAAAACTGAGACGAATGGAAAAAACGTAATTATGCAAGTGGTTGGTAAGAGAGGATCGGGATGGCAAAAGGAAGGAAAAAGGAGGGAGAAAGGGAACAGAGCTTAGCTAATCATACAACTGGGAAGATTTGGAGTCCCTGTCAGGCAGCCCTACGTCTGATTGCTGAAGATTTAGTGGAAGAATAAGCCTGTCAGTTCCAATGCACGTGCATCTGACCTGCTTCAGCGGTCAGGACAGACCTGGCGTGTCTTCTCC